GGCTGCAGCCTGTCGGGCCTCCGCTCCCCTGGGGCGGCCTCTGCATCCTGTGGGGGCACCCGGCGCCGGGGGGGCCGGTTCTTAGTCTTCATGGCTCCAGACTGGTTGTCCTGGGGGCAATGGCTCTGGGGGCGGGCCTTCGGAGCTGAAATCCAGAACACAGGCCACCCCGCCGTCACTCGGCAGGTCAGTGGACACTTGGGACAGCCAGTGGACGCTCAGGATAGCTGTCCCTGGAGCCTCCTCGCTGCCCAGTGGCAACTTGGTGCACAGTGACCCCAGGGTCCTTCCCGTTCACACACGGGGCCCTGAGCTGACGCCCCTCCCTGTGCCTGTTTGACCTCACACTGACCCCTTAGACCTTTCCCTGATCTGGTGGGCCCTTCTCCCTCTGGGTGACAAGCATTGACCCCTGGACCCTTCTCTGGCCCCATGTCCCTCAGTACAGCCTGAATGCTCCCTGAGCTTAGGTGGCCTTTGACACTTTGCTGAGACTACCCAGAGATGTGGCCCCAACCTAGTCCAGGCAGCCCCTCTGCCCGAGGCCTCACTGTCTCCTGTTTGCCTGGATGGACAGGAACCAACTCTAGCCACCACTCTCACCGTCCTGCCCCACTGGATGTCACACATGCAGGGACAACACTGGCGCCAGAATAGCTGTGGACATGAGGCAGCTGTCGCAGGTCAGAGGTGGACAGTGTCTAGAGCCCGCAGCAGTCTCCAGGCCCACCACGTGTATGGCCGCGGCCAGGGCTCCAGACCTGGATCCCCCACCCAGGTCTCCCTCCAGATACCACTCAGTCCTGTCCTCCGCCACTCAGTCCTCTCCCCGCGGCCACACCCGCACCCCCACCGCCGTTACCTGAGGTCCGTGGCCGCACGCGCTGGGGCTGTCCACGGGGGACAAGGACACGTCGCTTTAGGCGCTGCGGGCGGGGCGGCGGCCTCATGTAAATAAGCCCGCGGGGCGGGGCCGGGGCGGGGCCAAAGTTCGCGTGTCCCTGCACCGCGGCGGGGTACGGGCGCACCTGCAGGCGGGGATCCGTGGCCGACTCCCGGCTCGCGAAGGTCCCCCAGGCCGCCTCCCCGCCGGCGGAGCTCAGGCCCCGGAGCCCGTTCCGCCGTTCCAAGGACTGGGAGGCTGAGGCCTCTCTGCGAGCCCGCCGGCGCGGAGGGGAAGTCCCGGGGCCGCACCTGGCCTGGGGGTTAAGGCTCAGAACACGGAGCCAAGGTCGGAAGAGTTCGTGGAAAAGCTGTTTTGTAGTAATACTTGTTCTCAAACGGGCAGAGGCCACACCTCCGACGAACAGTCGGCCAGGCACCCCCGCGCCCTCACCCCGCAGCGCCGGAGGTTGGGAAGCGCTCCCACCGCGCCGCCCGCGCCGGGCCGGGTGCGAGTGGGCGGAGCCCTGCCCTGCGGAGCACCTGGTCGGCGGTCTGTAGGCGGGGCACCGGGAAAAAACTGGCCATCGGTTCTAGGAAGTCTCCAAGGGTGGGAGGCAGAAGCTTGGGCTCAAAACTTGCTGCCACCCACCTGCTTTACTTAAACGCCTCCCGCCTGTTTTCTCACCTTTGACCGGCGCACTAAAATGTGTTAAAAGCAGCAACTGGCCCCGAGGTTCTTAGGGGCTGATGGGACGCACAGCGGCTCCCTCCCATTTGTGCCCCGCAGGCCCGGCCAGGGTCAGCGCTGCCCTCGCCTTGGGCTCTCTGGATGGAGGTGCACAGGCCTCCTCCATCTCTCCCTGAGGGTCACTCCGCAGTTTGTGTAACCCGAGGTGGGGCCAGGCCCGTTTTGGTACAGGGAGGCTGTTAACTGCGTTCTTGGCAGCTCACACCAGGAGAGCAAGGACGGGCCACTGGGGGCTCAGAAGGCTGGTTTTGAGCTGATTAGCCTCTTGGCTTGGCGCTCCTTATTGGCTTGGTCTTAGAAATTTAAACACTTCTGAAATTCATCAGTAAGCGCAAAGGCATAATTACAGATGCACTTTACGGCAGCACAAACACTGCATGCTAGTTTTACATACCTTTGTGTTCTCAGGAGTGTGGGGGACTGAGGTCAGTCATGGAAAAGGGCATCCAATCTCTAGAGACCGGGGCGGTGAGGTGGTGACTCAGCGCTGCAGGCTGCAAGCACCCACAGCAGGGCAGTGCCAGGCCACCCAGCCCCGGCCTTACCCAGTGGAGGAAGAAACACAGAATAAATGCAGCAGCAGAGTTTATAAATATATAACTATATTTATTTTGAATATTCAATAGTTTTTAAATTACAAGCAATTTATTGAATCACACTATGCATCAATATACAGTAAAAATCTTACAATTTAAAAATGTACACAATTTAAACTGAAAGTTCATTAACTGTTATATTGCCGTGAACCTCTTACAACTGTGTGAGCACAACAGGGAAACCTCGGAGGTGTGACGGCCCCAGGGGTCCTCGTCTGCAGCTGGAATGAAGCAGTGGATACACACAGCGGTCTGTTACGAAGATCTACCTAGGTCTGTGCCAACTTGAACAACCTCACCATGTTCCAGCCATTCAAATAACAGGTTGTTGGTGATTCAGTACTGTCAACGCATCTTTCAAGAATTTCTTTATATACTGAAGAGAATCTTCCCTTTTGAGAGCCCAAACTTGAGCCAATCCCATGACTACTTCAGAATATTGTTTTTTGAGATTTAAATCTCAAGTAACTGTGTACACGCATTCTTATTTTAAGGCTACTTCTCATAAGGCTAATATTTTGAAGCCCCTCATAACTGAAGCCTAACACTTGGTTCTCTTCTGGAATTTTCAGACAATGATGGGCTGAGTGGAGTAAAACCAGGAGCCGCCTCCCTTGCGCCTGGGCCCACAAGACAGACATGCAGTGAATCATTAGCCCTACAAACACCCTACGGAAAGTGCTGATAAAAGGAAGAGGTTTTGAAAGGCGTTTTACGGCAGCAAGACATACAAAGACTTTTCTTAGATGGACCCACTTCTGTAGAAAGAATCGCTTGTACACTTAAAAACAGGACAGGTGCTGCTTTCCATTCAGCTTCCTGGAGCGTCTTCACCCTTAAGATGAATGGCTTCGTACCCAGACACACAGTCCAAGTTTCAGAAGGATCTGGGGAGCACTTTTTCTATGTTTCTCTGCCTTATGACCGAGTCCTTTGATAACACAAATTAACATCTAGCTAGGAAGGAAATGAAGGTCAGATTATTTTTACTGTGGGATTTAAGATACGTAAACTCCACCAAAGTAAGACAGATCCCAAAGGAGGCCAGGAAACAGCACTGTGAACCAGGTACTATGAACCTCGCCCGCGTTAGCTAGAGAATGCCACTGATTTCTTTGCATAATTTATTAGGACAAGTAAGGTCGGAAAACCTACTACTGGTAAAACCAACTGAGTAAAAAGAATCAAACAACAAAGCACATGCTGGTATTTCCAAAATGGGCTGAAAATTTTAATCTACATAATTGCCTGTGTATTGCTTGAGATTTCAAAACAACATGTTAATTCACATGTTTATTACAAATATAAAATCTCCCCGACCATGCAACACCACACTAAGACCTACTGCCCCACCCCACCCCGACTCCACGTAGAAAATGTTTTTGGCAATTAATTATGAGTGATACAAACCTCAAAATAAATTAAAATGGGAATTATGTTGTTAAAATCTCCTTAATCATAGTGAAAAATGTACAGCCCCAAAACATCAATAAATGCATCCTGGGCTCACTGTATATGAAGACTATCTATTCTATGGATCTGCATGATTTCAGTCATTAAATCTGAACTCCCTGCAACTGTAATTTGAAAAAACTAGTATTAACTGCCTCTCGTTTCTCTCCCAACCAAGACCGGTAGTTAGATATAAAAATTCAGAAACCTCAGAAGTCTCCACAGCAAGAAATTCAGAGTTATGACAGTTTTGGCAAAATCCCCTCCTAATGCCCTGTGAACTGTGTTTCCCACACGCACGCCAGAGGCCAGCTCTGCAGTGCTCTGTGCTCACACCTGGGGAGGGTCAGAGGCGCTCCTTCCGTTTGGAATCTTCTTGCTCTGGAAAGTTATTGCTAGTACAAAACGGTAGTGAGCCAGACTGACAACAAAGGGCACAATCTACGATGTAAACTCTGACAAGCGCACCCCTCTGCCTCTGGGACCCGGTTCCCGTGACTCCCATCCTGTGGCCCCAGCCTGGGCCTGGTGTCTCCCAGGGTCCCGCTGGAGTCGGGAAAGCAGATCAGCACCAGAAGGCAGCTGGGACAAGGGGCCAGCATGTGGGGACCCAGGCCCGAGGCCCTGCCCAGTGCGCACAGCGCAGCCACGCTGTCTACTTGAGGACCACAGCGGGTCGAGGTCAGCTTTTTATCATCAGTACCCGGTTCCTGCCAACATTACAGCTGCACTGGACACGTGCGGGCCTTTCAGAGCAAGGGGTGAACTTGGTGCTTAATGCAAAAGTGGGGATGTCAGTGCAGGGCAGCATTTGGGTGCAACGGCCACTCAGGCTGCCCAAGGCCCCAGCCAGGAGGCCGTGCTGGCTGCGGAGGCCCCGCTGCTGCCCCCGTCCCCCTCACAGCTGTGGGATGTAGTGCATCTCCTCAGTTACAGGGACCAGCTGCCTTCGGATGGGATGGGACCCGGAGTGGGTCTGAGGGGACAACTCAGCTCCAGAGACTCTCGACAGCTCAACACTTGAACTGCACAAACAGCGTGAACTCAAACCGTCCTGGCACCCAGAGCCCCCCGTGGGGCAGCTTCTACGCTCAGTTCTCCACCATCCTGGAGAAAGAAGCTACAACCCAAGGACCCCGAGGCCACCAAGGCTACGCCTCCAAACCAAGCAGAAGGGCCAGCTCTGAGGGGCAGCGACCTGGGGCCCTGCTCAGCTGGCAAGACCCCCGACCCATGCAGCAGGACCCGCGCAGCAGGACGTGGGTCCCCGGGGAGAGGGTGGGGGACTGGGCACTCTGACCACAGCTGGGCTCAGGGAACCACCTGTCAATTTTTACCAAAAGGGTTTCTAAAAAGCTGGGGGAGGGGAGGGTGGGAGAATCACACGGCTGGGCTGCAAAACCCTCAGCTCCTCAGAGAAGCCTCATTTGCAACAGGGAAACCACCTTATAGAGAAGAGACACAAATGTGTTTCATTCAGTCAACAAAACAGAGCAGTCTTTTTGGACTCATCAAAAATATTTCCTGTAAGAACATAAAACACTAACATTCAGAATCATTTCTCATTTACGAAAGAGTACCGTATGTACAATTCCGACAATTCTAAAGACGGCATAACACTCAAAATATTTAAGCTTTACAAGTACCATGCAGAGCAAACAAACTATAAAACAGAAGAAAAAAAATCAAACTAGTGGATAGCACCAGCTTGACCTGCCTTATTTCTCCTTGAATAATTTACGATTCTGTACAATATGAGAGACTCTTAGGACATTTATCCACAGTGCAATTACAGAAAGCAATTAGTGATTTCTTTAAAAATAATAAATATGGCTCACTGGTGCCAATTCCCACTGTGGTCCTCAGGGCCCTGTGCACAGACAGGATGGATGCACAGGTGTGGCCGCAGAGAACACCCAACGTGGGAACCAGGAACAACCCGGAGCCGACAGGTCCCCCTACGCAGGACAGGCTCACGCTCCGTCAGGACGGAATCGCAGACGCTGCAGGTGGGTGGGAGTGGCCGGGAGCGCAGGGCAAAGGCAGCAAGCTGCACTAGACCAGCTGGACAGGACCACGCCTCCGGCCGGCCCACTGCACCACTCCCTCTGGCCTCCTGGGTCCTTCTTCCCGTCCAGGCTCAGCAGCCACGGAGTAGGGGGCCGGCAGTCGGCGGGTACCGGGAAAGCCGCCGCGGGGGAGCAGCCGGGTCTGAGGTGCCTCTGCGTCACCTAATCTTTCTCTCCGTCTTCACTGCTTCCTGGTTAGGAGAGAGCAAGCAAAGCTGGGCTTTTAAAACGATCATCACAGATAAAAATAGTATGCTTGGCAGCTGATTCCCACTGTAGAAAAAGGAACTGAAACCAGCAGGGGCTAGTGGCCACCTGCCAGAGCCGCAGGCCGCTTCCCGCAGGAGCAGCACCTGCCGGGCTCTCCCGCCAGCACACCTGCTCAGCTCACACGCTGCTGCGGTATCAGTGCTCCGGGCACAGGAGAAGCCCAGCTCTGCTCCCCACACCTCTGCCCCAACAGGTCCCTGGGTAATGGGCGTTATCTAATCGGCAATTAAACAGCACAAACACAAATAAACTCTCTTTCTACTTCACAGTTACTATTTGGCCTGCAAACTCCACATCAAAAAGTGTACCTGTTAACGTTTATCTTCAAATCTAGTTATGGGGAAAAAAAGGATCCGTGTGTTCAGATACTATGACTTCAAATGTGCCCTGCCTGTCACCTGTCCCCCAGGCCTCCTGGTGTCACACGAAGACCAGGACTTAATGGCAAAATCAACATTCCCAGAGAAGGGGCAGAGTGTATTTGGGCTTAAGCCCCAAGTCAAGGCCAAGTGTTATTCAGAGCACAAGCATTCTGCAAAGCTGCTTCTGTCTGGGGAACAGAAGCAGATTTGAGGGTGGGCAGCTAAGAGCAAAAAGGGAAACAGAGTGACAAAGGGGCCGGGGGGAGCAACCCCAGGGCAAGTTCTAGCCCCGGGCCAGCTGGCCCAGCAGGGCAGGGAGAAAACCTGAGCGTGGGGATGTGGCCCAGAGAGCACACTGGTAAGGCGGGGAGCGCTTCAGGAAGGGTTTCGCAACCTTCTCAGCAAACCCCAGGAAGGCACCAGACGAATGCACCGTCAGCCCAGAGGAGAAGGCCTCCCAGACTGCCGCCCACCCTCGGCACCCGCGTCCTCTCACCTCCCTGCTCAATGTCCGAGTCTGTGAGGTGTGTGAGAGAGAAGCTGGCGATGCTGGCAGGGGAGATGGAGAACCTGGAGTAGGACGCGTGGGGCCAGCTCTGCTCGGCGCTCCGGGGTGGCGGCGGTGGCGAGAAGTACTTGGAGGTTTGAAGGGAAGGTTTAGAGCTAAGAAGGTTACTTGTTGTCTTGGACATAAAAGGGTCTGGGGAGAAGTCATCGTCCCATTCAAAGCCTCCACCTGGAAGTAAAAAATAAAAATGACTCTCCTTTGATGACTTCACCACAAAGACCAGAGAGGCCAAGCAGTGTGTTCTGCGGGGCCAAGCAATGCCTTGGGGCACAGATGGCAGAGCTGCTCCCAGGGTCCCAGGGCCGCTGGGAGTGATGTGTGAACTGATACTCAAAAACACTTCACATTGCACCTTTTAGCTTCTTTTTAAACATGCCCAAGGGGTGAAATACCTTCTTCATCAGTTGAACTTTCAGAATTCATGCACCTGCTCAGGTAAGGGGAACCTGACGTCGGTGCCGGGCCGCCCAACTCAGGCCCGCGTGCTTCTCCTCCGCAGGGGCCCAGCTCCTTGGTCGGGGTCTCCTGAAAAGCCGAACACAAGTTCCCGTCAGCCAATGCCTGCTCTGGGGAGCCCGCGGGGCACTGGCTCGTCAGTGGTGACCCGGGGCTTCCGGTGCTGGGGAAGGTGGGCCCGGGCTCAAGCCCCATCTCTCCCCTCGAATGCCTCTAAATCCCGGGAAGATGCACAGAGGGACTTCGGGAAGCCTCCGGGAAGGAAACGGAGCAGGCACGGGGGAGAACTGGAAGTCAAAGGCCACCAACCCCGCAGAGCACTGACCCAGCCCAAGCGAGTAATCGGGTGGCAGGCACCCGAATTCTGAGGGGGGTGAGCTTCCTCCCCACCTAGGGGACGAGCTGTGATCCCTCTCTGTCCGCCCACGGCGCAGCTGTGTGGTGCAGTATGGTGACCTGAATCCCGGCTCTCTGGCCAGAGGGCTGCAGAGAGAAGGCCCGAGACACTGGCAGTACCAGGGACCCCACGGGGAGGGGGAGCTCAGGAAAGGGACCCCATCAAGTTGTTTACAAGCTCCCAGCTTACCACCCCGCAGCTGCTCAGGGTATATGTGACCCGAAACAGTGCACCAGAGCTTTGAGAACTGAACTACAGACGAAACCACAGCCACGGCCAGTTGGCCCAGCAGGTGGCACGTGCACGGGACAGGGTCAAACAACACAGCAAAGGCCCTGAAAGGGGACCCCCATCCCCACAAGGCTGGTTGGAACGTGCGACCTGAACCCCACTGGGTCAACGCCTGTTCAGACAGAAATATCAACATCCTCCACAGACTCTCAACAAGACACAGAATCACATAAAGTAACAAGAGTGCGACCTAAAATTACTCAGCACCCGGAGAATCGGGAAAACCTCAATTCACAGGAGGCAAGACAATCAATAGATGCCAATGCAGAGATGTCCTCAGATGTTGGAATTACCTGAAAAAGACTAGTATGAATAGAAAAGTCTCAGCAAAAGAACAGGTGATAAAAAGGATAAGGAAATGCAACTTTCGGAACAGAATACAACAACCGAAAATTTAAACTCCCTGGATGCACTCAATAGCAGAATGGAGATGACAAGAGGACGGAGTAAGTCACTCTGAAGTAGATCAACAGAAACGATCCAGTGAGAACAAGAGTGAAAGCAAACCTCGGAGGGAGATGGGGGCAGAGCCTCAGGACCTACAGCCCAGGGGGCACAGCAAACAGCCCGAGACCTGGCTCCCAGAAAGGGGGGGACAGAGTCTGGTGAAGAAGTATTTGAAGAAATCATGGCTGAAAACTCCCCAAATCTGGTGAAAGACATACAACTACAGGTTCAGGATGCTTTGCAGACGTGAAATGAGATAAATACAGAGAAATCCACGCCTGTAATCCAGAAACCCATAATCCCTACTCAACTACTGAAAACCAGAGGCAAAGGGAAAAGCTCCTGAAAGCAGCCAGACATCATCTAATGCTGGAAAAAGGAAACGTCACCACAGAAATCCATGCTCAGAGAAAACATCCCTGAGGAGTGAGTGTGAAATAGACGTTCTCAGATGAAGGGAAAAAGGCCAAACCAACCTCTTCAGACAGAAGGGGAATGGTAACAGAAGGAAACCTGGAACATCCGAAATGAAGTAAGAACAGTAGTAAATATCTGAGTTAAATATAATCCTTCTTCTTCTCTTCAGTTTCTTAAAACATGTTTGACAAATTCAGCCAGCCTTGGATCACGCAGTAGTCAGCGGGTATCTACTTCACCGGAAGTAAAACGGACAGCACTGTCTGACGGTCTGAAGGCAGGAGGCTGGGAGCGCAGAGGGCCCACAGGGCAGTGAGGCCCCGAGGGTCCTCCTGGAGCGGCTCAGGTAAAACGCTGATTCTGCGTAGGCTGCGAAAAGTCAAGTATGTATACTGTAATCCCAAGAACCACTCCAGAAACAGTATACTAACAGAAGATATATAAGTAAAAAAAAAAAAAAAGACAATAGGTAAAAGGTAATACTAAAACCTGTTCAAATTACCCAAAAGAAATAGGAAGAGAAACAAGAACCAGAGGACCAAACAGAAACATCGAATACAATGGTGCACCTGAGTCCAAACATGAATAATTTTATTAAATGTTAGTGGCCTAAAAACACCAATTAAAAGACAGGAAATCTCAGAAGAGATTTTTCTAAAATGGCCTAACTATATGCTACCCAAAGGAACTGTTATCAAGTACGGTGATACTTAAAAGATACTTAAAAGATTAAAAGTACAAGGATGAAGAAAGAGACATTATGCACATATTAATCAAAAGCAAGCTGGAGTGGTTTTATGACTGTCAGACAAAGGAATAAAGAAGGGCACTGTGCAACGGCAAAAGATCAGTTCACCAGGAAGATCTCATCATCTTAAATGTGTACGAAGTTAACAACAGAGCTACAAAACAGACGCCACAAAAGCTGAGAGAAATAGACAAATCCGTAATTGTAGTCAGAGACTTCAACACTTCTCTCTCAGTAGTAGAGCAAGCAGACAGAAAGATCAGCAACAATGCAGAAGCGACGACCACCACCATCAAGCCACTGGGCCCGACGCCTACAGAACAATCCGACCCCCGGACGCAAAAGGCACATTCTTCCAGTGCACGCGGACCCGTCACCAAGACAGGCCATAACTCTGGCACTAAAACAAAACAACACGGCAGGTTCAGTTCCAAACCACCACAATACAGTGAGTATCTCAATAAAGTGAGTCACACAGAAAGAGAAAGAGAAAAAAATAGAAAAAACAAAACAAAACAAAACAACACATTTAAAGGAATTGAAACTCTACAAAATATGTTCCCTGCCCATTATGGAATTAGACTAGAAATTAGTAACAGAAAGTACAAGAAAATCTCCAACCTTTGGGAATGAGGCAGTATTTTTATAAATAACCCATAGGTCAAAGAGAAAGGCTCAAAGAAAATCACAAGATATTAAGATTTGTGGGATGGAGTTACAGCATTACACAGAGGGAAATGTGCTGCATTAAATGCTAATGTTAGAAAGAAGAAAGGTCTCAAATCCTAAGTTTCTACCTTGAGAGTCTAGAAAAAGAAAAGCAAAATAAATTCGAAGCAAGAAGAAGGAAAGAAATAATAAAGATAAAGCAGAAATCAATAAAAATTAAAAAGAAAATAAACATTCTATAAAGCCAAAATCAGTTTTTTCAAAAGATGAATAAATCTATATAATCTCTTCCCAAAAGAGGAGGAAATACAGCGGATCCTTGAACAATGTGGGGGTGAGGGGCACTGACCCCCCACACAGTCAAATGTATGCCTATCACTTTATAGTAGGCCCTTGGTGTCCACTGTTCTGCATCTGCAAATTCAACCAGCCTTGGTCCTGTAGTAATCAGCAGGTATTTAGTAAAAAAAATCTGCATGTAACTGGACCTGTGCCACACAAGCCCGAGTTATTCAAGGGTTGACTGTAACTTTCCAACTCATTTTATGAGATCAGCATTACCTTGATACCAAAAACCACAGACAGTGCCAAAGCACAATTAGCCAAATAAGCAAACACCCCCCAAAATTACAGACCAATACACCTCATGGCAGTAGACACAAAACTCAACATACTAGCAAATCAACAAGAGTAAAACCTTACAGCCAAGTGGGCTTTATTTTCCAGGAAGGCAAGGCTGATTCAACACTGAAAACCAGTCCGTGCAATCTAACACATCAGCATGCTAACGGAGGAACCACACGCTGCTAGCAACTGGAGTATAAAATGCATTAGGCAAAAGTCAGCATCCATTCGGGATAAAAACTGTTTCAAACCAAGAATAGAAGAGAACCTTCTTAATCTGATAAAATACATCTACAAAAATCCTACATCACAATCAACGGTCCAGGACTGAGTGCTATTCTCCTGAGGTCGGGTTCGAGGTTTACTCTCATCTCTCCTGTTCAACACCGTACTAGGAGTCCTAGCTAGCGTATAAGGTTAAGAAAAAGAAATAAAAGAGATACGATTTGGTAAACAAATCTGTTTCTAATTGCAGACATGACTGATTGTGTAGAAAACCACAAGGAATTTGAAAACAAACAAAATATTTCTAGAACTAAGAAGCCAGTACAGCAGGATACAAAGTCCACACACACAGGTCTGGCTGCAGACCACCAGGAAGGTTTCAGGACTTCATTCTGGACTCTACCCACTTTCCAACTTTCTCTACGACACTGACCCCATCCTCGTATCTCACCTTTATTGCGCACATCCTACACTTGATCTCTGTGCCTTCGTTCCTGTAACCATCATGCCTTGAGTCTCCATGTTTCGCCTTCCTGCCCTGCCCTGTGAAGCCATCAAAACATCATACCCCCACAATGACCACACACAGGTTTAGCCCTTCCGTAGCCCGGGGGTTTCCACCAGAGTCACGTCCAGCTCACCCCTCCAATTACCCCAACCCCTCATCCGCCCCAGCCCTCTGCCCACACTGCTCACAGCACACACTTTATAACTACGTCTACCCCACCCACGGATCAGTGGCGAAGTGCACAACAACTCAAGTTCACGGAGGGGGTGAAGACAGGGATGTGGGAACTGGAATGACTGATAACAAAACACAAAATCTGGGGCCAGGCGATCCCTTCTCTCCTCCATTCAGTGAAAAAATGGCAAACTATTTCCCTAGACTCCTTGACCCACAAGTTCTGAGGCTGGGATGTGTGACCCTCCCGCCCCTTCCCACAGATCCGAAAAACTGAGGTCAAGTCCAGGAGTCTACTTTTCTTCCCCCAAAACCTGCCTGCCTTCACCAGCCCTGCCTACATGTTGTAGCTCAAATGTGGTAGTCTAATTTTTTTTCAGCAGCACCATAAAAACAGAATACAGAAGAACAAAGCGTAAAGGAACAGCAACTGAGGGAAGACCCACCCCCGAGGGAGGACGTGGAGCAGCGCCCAGAGCCCCCCAGGTGTGGGCAGAGTCTCAAGTGTGAGGCCCAATACTGAACAGGAGGCTGAGCCACCAAAGTCTCAGTTCCAAGGACTAAATGCAAAGGGAGGGCCAACCATCTAAGGAGACACCGCCAAGGCCTTCCGCACCTTCTGCAATGGCAGCTTCACTTACAATCCAGAAGCAAATTCAAGAGCTACAAAGACTGGTCAACAAAGAGCATTTAAAAAAAAAATGTCTGAATTGTAGGTGGCCTCATTTTTAAGGAAGCCCATGTCTGAGCCCACTCAGCAGTGACAGTGGGGAGGAGGGAAGGGCCAGCTCCCCACCAGGACAGCCAGGGACTCTGTCCTGCTGCCCAGTCCCACCCCAGCCCCACATGTGAGCCCACACTGTCCCAGCTCGCACCAGCATGCCGGGCACTACTGCTGATCGCCAGGTTATAAAAATGTGGTCTGGAAAGGAACCTCGAAGGACCCTGGAAGAGCATGCAGACCCCCTTCCCTTAATTTAATAGGTGTTCCATGTGCAAACCACAGCTCTGCATATTCTTGGAACTGTCACGGTCACCAACACTCAATTCCTTTTTTTGAGGAACGATAAAACAGTCTGTGGCAATCAGAAAAAAAGCAGGCTCACTTTCCTAACACATCCTGGAATCCTCCAACGTGTCAGTTTGGAGGTAACGGCTAACACACCTGGTCAAACAGATAGACCGTGACATCATCAAAAAACGTCACCGCCTTCTTTCCCTTCTTCCAGTCGTGGGGCGGCTGATCAGCGGCGGCAGTGGCCGAGGGTTTCAACAGGCCCCGCAGGTGCCGTCCGTCCTCGCTGCTCAGGACCACGGGCACTGGGTGCTCCGTCTCGTCCTCCGACTCAGAGCTGAGGCTGTGCAGGTTGAAGGCCCGCAGCTCCTCGTCCGAGTCGTCGCTGTTCTCATCCTCCTCGTCCGCGTCGATGCCATCCTCGGTGAGGTCGAGCATCCCCGACACACCGAGTTTCCCCAGGTACTTCCCTTCGACGTCGGGCTCCTTCAGCTTGGGGGCCTCGGGGTGGCCACACGAGGCCTTCTCCCCCGTGGGGGCCGCTGGGCCGCAGGAGCGGAGGGTGGGCTTTGCGAACGCGAGGAGCTCATTGGTGTTGGTCCCCGTGGAGGCCAGCATGCAGGGGGGCTCATCCTGTGCCTCAAGGTCATCCCCGCTGCTCAGCTCTGAGTTCAAAAGACTCGAGGGGCTGCCAGCCCCATCGTCAGGAGGACACATCTGTCTGGCAGCATCCATCACTGCTGGTTCCCACGTGTCTCCTAGTTCCACCTGATGGGAATTTTGCAGAGCAGGCGGACAACTCTGGTCTGGCTGGCGGCTCCCAGTTTCCAGGCAGCCGTCTGAGGCACTGGGACTCTGCGCTGGGGTGACAGGCTCGGGCTGGGGCTGATCCGCTCCCAAGGCCGACGCCAGGGCTCCCAGGACTCCCTCCGACTTCCTCTCGGGCTCAGAATCGTTGTCGGAGAAGTAAGCAGAGTCTCGGTACGAGCTCTGGGACCCGGGGGCGGAAGTCTGTGGGCTCACTTCTGTGCCTCTGTGGCCATCGGCCACGTCTGAGATGACGATGACAGGGTTGGGAGGCAGCCCTCTGTGAGTGCCATCGCCCGCTGGGGCCGAGTCGGGGGCTGAGGCGCTGTCGGGGGCAGGGTGCAGCGTCCACTCGGGGGACTCCAGGTTCTCGGTCTCATAGCCGCTGTCCGCAGGCTTATCGGGGGGCAAGAGTTTCTGTGGCGAGTGAGGGCCCAGGGAGCCCAGCAGCACCTCGTGGACGTCCACCGAGTCCAGGGAGTCCGGTGTCTCCACGGACTGATCCGAAGGCGGGATGGGCACTGACAGGCTGTCCTCCAAAAGGCTGTCCTGACTGGCCGAGTCCGAGGAAAGGGCGGACGCCAGGCCCCCCTCTTTCGCAGCAGCATCTTTACAACCCAGCTGACTCAGAGTCTCTGCAGATTCCGGGTCTTGCCGCAGGAGACCACAGCTGCGGCGGTCTTCCGAAAGCCCTTCGTCCTGTAAGTTCGGTCCCAGTTCTGGAAGGCCACTCCCTACACTCACCTTACTGGCTAACGTGTCACTGACAAGAACTGCGTCACTCTTGCTGAGTCTCAAGGCCCCCCCATCTTGGTGAGTCAGGTCACGGGATCCGTCGCCGGTGGGCACGTCTCCCTGGGCCAGCGCGGAGTCCGGGCTGACCTCTGGGCAGACAGGGTCTTCACGTGCGCTGACACCCAGACACACGGGCTTGGCTCCTCCCTGCTTCAGGGACCCAGCTGGAGGGACGTCGGGAGGCGTCTCTGCCTCTGCCTCGAGCGAGGTAGGTGGTGCCTGCACTTGTGGGGAGGACGGCGACGCCACGTCCCAGGTGCTGCCCTTGGGTGCCACGCCCGTGTCCCTGCCCCTCATGCCTACATTTTCCTGCAGCAAAGAGGAGCCTGGTTTATCTTCAGCAAACGTAAGCTCAGCATCCAAAGAGTTTCTACTCGGAGCTTCTAACAGAGTTTCAGGAAAACCAGCGTTTTTAAGTTCTGTTTGAAGATCGTTTACATGTTCTTTGCTAGATAAGGAGTCTTTCAGTAAGTTCTTCTCTTGAAGAAATAAAAAGTTTTCTGACAATTCTTCAATATCCAGCTGATCAAAACTATCTTGGCGCATATGATTTTCTGGTGAACAAACAGGCTCACCATCAAAAAGCTTACGGGGCTTTTCCTTCTCAAAGTGGCGTGTAGTTACTGGCTCTCTGGGGTCATCGAAACTTGAACTGAAGGTGGTCGGCTTAAAGTCAGCTTGAACTCCATTGAGTTCCATTAAGTCAAATATTTTTTGGTGACTGGGCAAAGCCTCTGGTTTGTCAAGATCATTAAATATACTGTTGAAAGGGCTCTCAGGGCCCTTGGTACTATGCACACCCTCAGGTACGCTGGCATCTTTGGGGTCTGCACCGTTCTGGAAGAAGTCCTCATCTGTGCTGGACTCCTCAAACTCACGATTCCTGAGGGTCAGAAGCTGGGACGCCTCATCACCGACCCTTTCTGAATTATCCATTTCAGTCGTGAGCAGCGTGGGCGGGTAATCAAGCTCCAAGTTACTACCACTTTTTTCTTCTAACTGGATGTAATAGTCACTTCCAACGGAAAGGTTGTGGGCATCAAAAACGGGCACCACCCCGGGGGCCCGCAGGGGGACATCCTGGCCACTGTCATCTTGTTTCCCGGGTCCGGGGTCTGAGAGCGAACTCTCAAAAACTTCTGTGGGGAAGAAGATGCTTGTGTAGGACAAGGCTTCGTCGGGGTGGCCCCGGCCACGTTCGTCGAAGTGGTCATGCTTGGCTGCCTCCCAGACGTACTCAAAGCTCAGGCCCTGGCTGGTTTCGGTCACGGTGAGGACTTCCTCCATTTCTCGACCAAGCCGGTCCCTGGTGAAATGGTCGAGGATCGGGAACGCAGCATTATTTGAAGCGTCTCTGCTATTTGCGTTTGGTTTGAGAGCATTCCACTGCTGTTCAAAGTCGACCTCCGAGTCCCTCTGGCTCTGCATCCGCAGGTAGGTGAGCAGTCTGTGCACGTCTTCAGCCGCCGGCCTCTTGTCTGGTGACAGCCAGCAGAACTGTAAGACTTCATACCTGGGCAACACATGAGAGGTAATTAATGGACGGATGATAAACTGTTTTCAAATAGGAAAAGACCTCACAAGGACCCCAGGCCAACTCCACACCCCAGAAGTTCCTGCACTTTAATCACTGCCAACCGCCTGAAGGAGTTCAGTTCATGGTGAGATCATGGTGCTAGGGGAAATAAAGAAATGCAAAATGTGGCTAATTCTCCTGCGTGCTCAGGACACCTTCTAGGATCCCCACAATTCTTCTGCCGTGTCATTTTTCTTCGGGTATTTTCCAGGGACACAGCCACCAAATTTGGAAACAGTTCTAAAATGCTCTCCTCCTGACACAACTGCTACAGATAATCTGTTTAGTAAAGAATGCCCTGGGCTAACATCCTGAGATTCGCTCGCTTTATTCTGCAAGAATTCACATAGACAAAGGCTGCTGTCACTCATCACTAAAGACTCCCCCAACGAAAAGCAACACCACAGTCTTCTGCACAATCTTAGATCATGAAAGGAGCTCAGGGTGGAGGGAAAAGAGTAGAGAAAGGAGCCCAGAGAAGGCGGCGGCCAGGGCTGGGTCTTCGGAGGCTGGCCTCAACACAGCCAGCACCTTACACCGTAGCCACGATCAGATGGGAAGACACGGACGACGTCACAGTATCAGATTTACAGCCTAAGTGTCCAGTTATTCTGAGTGAGCTGGTTCTAGCAAGTGGAGGGGCTGAGCAACGCCCACGGCAGGGGCAGCAAGCTTCAGGGGCACTGCTGGCTGGGGGCGGGTGACACAGAGGCGTCGCCACGAGTGAACCCGATCATAACTGGAAACAGAGTGAGAACTGGCCTGAAGATTCGTAAGCAGCAAATTTGTTGGCAAATGTCAACACACATTAGGCAAACTAGTCTCCACTGCCAATTTAAATGTGACCCTGTCCAGGCCGCCCACCCTCCTCTCACACGTCCAGTGTCACCTGCACAAATAGCCTCAGTGAAAAAGCACTCCACAACAGGAAACTCCCGCAAAATGGACTTTTCTAATTAGTTCAGACTTAATATTTTTTCTTATTACACGTAATATATCAATTCCTGCTTGTTCTACACCTTTTTCAACAATAGCATTGAATTTTAAAAAAAAGGATGTTAATTCTAAAATCAGTCATAAATATATTTAAGTGGCTGCCTTTCATAACATTCACTCTTTACAAAGTGGGAACACATAACTAACACCCAGCGGCGACAGGACTCCCTTATCTTTTGGAGAGAACGTGACACAAGGTTACCCACCATCTGTCCGAGTAAGGCTGCTCCAGCTGGGGCTTCGGGAGTTTCGTGTCTCGCTCTCGAATGACCTGATTGAGAACATCTAAGTTGGAAAGGCTGGAATAAGGCTGAGCAGCATTCTCAAAAAGCTCCCAAAGCGTCACACCCAGGGACCTGGGGGAAAAAGAAAAGTTTTTTTCCCCTTCAGATGTCAAATTTTTCATACCCACATTTTAATTTGTGCAGTCATTAGTAATTTTAAACACAAAGTGTCTACTGGAAAGGTTATTCGAGATAGCTCTTTAACATGATTTAAAAACAGACATTTCTATTAAAATGAGGACCACAACAAGGATACCTCATCAGATTTACTAATGGAATCTTACTTCAGGAGTTCTGGCCAATGCAAAACAATACGAGACAGAGATCACAGGCATAATTACAGGAGGCGCCAATGTGACCATCAACTTCGAAGCTCAAGAAATTACTTGAAAGATCATTACAGTGTTTTTTAAGAGTTCAGCAAGATGGCTAGATACAAGATAAATACACTGAATTTTGAGATTTTGGGTGGGAAAAAAATTCCCATTCACAATAGTAATAAACAGTAGAAACCTTTAAATGAGTGATTCTTCCCTGTTGGCCCTTGTATTTCTTGCTGTAGCTATTCCTGAGTATTGGGGGGCCTCGCTATTTCCTAGGACATCCCCTCCTTACTGTGCCAGAAGAGGCCACCTGCCCAAGCCGCACGGTGCCTCCAGGTACATGGCCGTCTCCGCAGGCAGGGCGACCCTCTCTCCACCTGTCCTACTCGCCTGCGTGCCCAGCGCTGTCCCCAAGGAATGGCCTTGGCCACTCAAGTCAGACGGAACACCGCCTCCCCTTCTCCTCCCTGCGTTTCTCCCACCACCCCCTGCCCTCTGTCGGGTACCACAGTCTGTTCTCTGCAGCGGCTCCCAACCTGGCTGATCGCCTGTGTCGTCTGGACACTGGAACGTGCGACCCACCCCCGAGGACTCAGCTGGCAGACGCAGGTGTGGCCTAGGAGGCTGCATCTTTACAAAGCTCCCTTTGGGTATTGACAGTTTCCATGACTACGAACAACACCCACCAAAACGCATGTGTGTGTAATAAGCTGTATTGAGTAACTAAGTTTATTACTTGACATTGTAGAGTACAACATAACTTACGAGTTAAATTCTCTGGTGCTAATTTCACAAATCAGAGAGAAAATCAACAAATTCAGTATCTAAGTGGAGAGGGGCACTTCTATCAAAGGAAATAAAAGGACCTAAAGCTCCCAATCCAGTGTGAGAAGGAAGAAGCGTCTTCTCATGGGCACAGAACTGCGAGGGGCAGAGGGCCGTTCTGGGACCCTATCAGTGATGTCAGGGAGTTTCCAACTTATTTAACTGAGAAAAATAAGAGGCTCACATGAAATGCCAAAGACCACCAAGGCGATACATGATCAGCAGCAGCATGAGTGTCGCCAGCACCGAGCTTGGTTTGCCTTTGAGTGTACACCTCCACCTGTCTCTGTCTCTCCAGATTCCTGATTTAACTCCCAGGAAGGCCTGTCCCCAGGCCAAACTCCTCTCCTGCCCCCCACACCCTGTTCTTCAGAGAGCACGTAGCATGGGGTTTCTCAACTCCCCACTCGCCCACTTCCAACGTCTTTCCAGAGCACCCTTTCTTATCTCCTCACACAGGCCACAGGGAGAGATGAGCTGTATCTCCTCTGCGAGCCCATCCCTGCGTGGGGCTCTCTACTCTCCATCCTGTCCCGCCCAGGCTCCTCAGGACAGCCAGCTCCGGCATCACCTGTCACTCCCGTCTCTCCGACTCTTCACCTCGCACTAGCTCGAATCTCCCGGAAGACCAGCGAGCCTTTCTCATGGTGGGGAACGTCCTGTAGCTCTCATCCCCGCTTCCAATGGACTCTCAGAGAGAGATCCCTTGCAACACCCCCGGCACCCCTGCCAGCCCTGCCACCAGAGACTTCTCAACCCGTCAGAAACAAGGGGCAGGCTCTGTCTCTGGAAAGCAAGCTAAGTTTTCAGGTCAATCACCCTGCTGAGAACAGTCAAAACATGAAGCATAAAAGGCATCTTCTTACATGCATCAAAGAGCAGGTAAGATAGCAAGGAATTACCTGGACAAGAATCTAGAACTTAGAGAACTAAGGAGACACTAAAGGCACCTCTGACTGGGGCTTCTGTGTCTTTGGTATGCAGGCTTGATGCAGGAGGTGGTGGTGGTAGACAGGCCAAAGCCCAGGACCTGCCCAGGTAAGGGGTCTCATGGGACCTCTGTACAGGGGGAATAAACCTGCCCCACCTCAGGAGCCTAGAAGGCAAGCTTCCTTGGCACTGAGGAGCTGTGAGTGAGTGCGGGGGGTGGTGTAAGGGGGCCCCCCAGAGCTGGTCCTTCCTTGGCTCTGCAGCCCAAACTCAGACCATCTGAGCGTGCTAGGAGACTTCAAGCTGAATACACAAAGCCCAGGACTACTGCAGGTCCTTACCTGACAGGACACTCAGGTACCTGACAAAAGCAAACACGGACCCTCTCTAGAGGAGTGTTTCTTGATTCTAGGTTTCCAAGATCCTCACTATAAAAAAGTCCCCAGGGAAACAAGGCACCAACAAGAATCAGCAAGATCAAATCCAAAAGACTTTAGATACTGGAACTGTCTGATGTAGACCATAACCTAGTTATTAAAAACACTGGGACAAATTTTTAAAAACTCAAATAGACCTCCTAAAACTGAAAAGCCAGTAACTGAACTATAAAACTCTATAGAGATTTAATAGAAGAATAGAGACAGGTGAAGAGAGAATTTTAAAGAGAGAGAGAGAATTAGTGGCTGGAGCACAGATCTGAAAAATTATCTAGAGTGCAGCATGGAGAGTCAAAGAGCTGGAACACACGAGAGGGAGATTAAGAGACAGAAGGCAGAGCAAGAAGGCATAATGCATGTCTAACTGGACTTCCAAAAGGAGAAAAGATGGGGTAGAGGAAATATTTGAAGGGTAAGGGCTGAGAACACCAACCAAAGATTTGAAAAGCCAAATAATTCCAAGCAGAAAAGCATTAAAAAAAAATCCACACCCATACACATCATACTGAAACTAAAAAAACCAAAAGACAAACAGAAGAGTTCAAAAGCAGCCAGAGAGAAAAAGTCACTTTACCTTCAAAGAGCTTAGGGAGACTTACAGCTGACTTCTCAAGAGCAACAATGGAAGCCAGAAGACAGTGGAATGAGATCTTCAATGTGCTGGGAGAAAACAACTGTCATCAAGTGAAAGTACACTTCACCAGTGAGGACAAAACAGAGGTATGCTCAGGCCTGCACAGACACCGGAGACTCTGTTACCAGCTGAAACTCACTAAAGGAAACTCTGAAGGACGTAATTCAGACAAAAGAAGAATGACCCCAGACGGAAGGTCTGAGATTGGAAAAAAAAAAAAGGCAAACTGATTTCACTACGTGGATAAACCTAAAAATAATGTCTCGCGAGGTTAAAAGGAAAATGAAGATCCCCAACAAGAATGACATACAGTTCCACGTGGGGGGGTACGGCTAAACCGAGATAAAGTACGTTAAAATGTCCTGCGGCCCTTGTATTGTTCAGACAGAGGGCCAAGGTAAGAACTACCATTAGACTAAGTCAAGTGAATACACGTGCTGTCATTTCTAGGGTATTCAACACAAGGATAGGAACAGAGTGAACAGCTCCCAAACTAAGAGGTTTTAAAAATCAATCCAAGAGAAGGCAAGACGAGAAAAAAGGAAACAGAAAAAGCAGGACAAGAGCATACACAAAAAATGTACGTCTGCACTGAGAAAGCTGCAACAGAAACTGTTAGTCAAACACTTACATTTTTTCAACTTCCATTAAGCTGACCCATACCTCAGTATTACCTAATGGTCCAAACCTCTTTCTGTTTTTTCCTTTCATTTCAGTAAAGATTTATTAAATATCTATCATAAGCTAGGCCCTGTGGAAGGCACAGGAAACAGCCTTGGCCCTACTTTTAGGGAGCTTATTACTGTGGAATGGGGAAGAGAAAAGTTAATCACATCATCACAACTGTGGTAACAACTATGATGTCAATAAACTGACTTCTTCACACCGTCAGGCACTCTTACGTTCCTACGTCTTACTCAGTTACTTTCCTTTAAGAAAGTGCTCGAGAAGAAAGAAGTCAGGGCTTTGCCAACCAAAGCCTAACAGAATGGTAAATCGATACGTACCAGATATTACTATACTTAGTTTGATCTGCAGTTAGTAGTCTGTCTTGAAAGCTGGTTACTAATTCTGGAGCAGTCCATCGCAGAGGGAAAAATTTTTTATCATCTGTTTCAATATAATCCTCCTGTTTTATTAGAAAGCATACAGAATGTTGAATTCTATAACACTTTTGGTGAGCTCAATGATTTAATCCAGGTCATGCTCAGAAAACACATACTCCACCCAAAAAACATGTCAGGAAGAGAAGTGGGCATGAGACAGACTTTCTGGGCAACAGGCGGGTGAGGGTTTCCCTGAAGCCTCCTGGGCCTCATGAGCTGGTCTCTGAGCCGCGAGCACTCGCCCGTCATCCTTCCTGGAAAAGGAAGGTACGCTGTGTCTGGTGCACAGAACACAAACTCTGAGCAAAAACACCTTTCAAAAAATGCTGGGCCTTATCCCCGAGCAGGGGCGCGGTGCTGGTTAATGAGTAAGAGTGCAGGCTTCGAATCACACAGACTGGTGAGGTCCACATTCAACCATTTACCAGCTCTGTGACTCTGGGCAGGCAACAAACACGCTGAGGCTTCCCCTTGATCCGTAAGACGAGGGTGACACTAGGTCTGCCTCCCTTTACAGTGAGAATTATGTGAGATCGGGAGGCAAGCACTTCAGGGTGCCTGACTGGTATACAGCAAGCACTCAAGACACCAGAGCTACGATGTAGATGAATAAGCAACTCATATTTGCACGGTGTTTTCCGGCCCCACACCACGCTGCCTCACTCAGCTGAGCTTTGCAAACACACACAAGTAAAAACCTCACGTACTGACCTTCTTGGGGGATATACTTATGACAGAGTCGAAAAATCCAAATTCCAAGCTTACTGGACTTGAGCCAAAATTTTACTGAACATGTAACAGAGAAACAGCTATAGGACACGTATATTTTATTATTCAGGGGGCAGTAATTGTTTAATGCCTTTCCAAAAGGGTGTGGCATTTTGTGATATGACCATTTTATGACTGTGAAATTAAATCAGACAGAGGAGAACCTTTACGCCTTTGGCTTACCTTGTACCTGCTGAATCCTATTCCATAATCTCCCACTTTCACATTTAAATCCGAGGTAAGAAAACAATTCCGCAGGGCCAAGTCACTGAAAACAGAAAGGGTGAAGTGAACCACAAGAACAAGTGAACCAACAACCAGGACAACGTGGCGTGAAACTGCCACGGAAAAAGGCTTGCCTTCTTGAGTAATCAGGGTAGTGAGTGTGCTGAGCTCCCTGCTTCATAATCAAAGCTTTAAAATCCTTTTTCATGGAAGAAGGTAATACCATATTCATAATTACTTAAAGAATGGAGATGATCAGATTTTTTTTCTTTTTGCAAATAACTCCGACTGCTAAGGTTAAATACTGACCACATCTGTACCTTGTTCTGCATTAATACCAGACTTATGGCTCATTTCCTAATATTTTGAGAGTAACCAAGAAAGAATTCTAAATTGGCTAAGTTGTCTGAGGCTTTTTTAAAATAATAACTTGCATTACCTGAGTAATAGTTTAGTAGCAATCGATTTCATTATAAGTAAAGATGAATAAAGTTGCAACTTTAAGCAGCTCAAAATAATCAACATTATTAAAAAATGTTTGTTTTTTAACTCCTTTTTCAAAGACATGCAAGCATTACAAGGAGGCCGTTACCAAGTCACTCTCACCTGTTCCAAACTCCACCCCTCCAAGAAAGAGGCAGAGTTGTTTTCAAGACTTACTTAAAACAATTCATTTTAAGTTTATCTAAGAACAAGTTAATTTTCAAAAACACATCACTTGAAAAGTAAAAACTACTTTTTCTAAAGGAACTCCCCATATAGACAACAGATTACTTTTTTTGGATTTTGGCTTTAGCCCTTAGAATCTTCTAAATTATCAACTGGCATATGAATAATAAAGCCACTAAATTAAAACAGAACCAGGTACCTAATTTATAGTTTTAAATCATAAGTACAAGTTACCAGAGACTGAATTTCTATAGTCCCAAATTTTAAATGTTTGTCTTTACCTGACTATAGAAGTCTAAAAATTTGAGTTAATTATTAAATTCTTTTCAAAGATGTTAATTTCCAAAGCTCCCACGTCTGAAATATAACAATCACGAGGCTGATGACAGCACCAGCGGATGCCGACATAATTCAATGACAGCTCGGTACATTAACAACGGTGATTCAGTCATAAAATAACTGCCAATGTTTACAAAGCACTTACTTTACACGACATGTTTCTCTAAGCAAGTGACGTGTTAACTCATTTAATCTTCACAACAGACCTCTGAGGTGGGCACTATTATGTTCCCCACTCTCAGAAAAGGAAACCGAGGCACAGAGAACTGAGGTGACTTTGCCAGGGTAAGCGTTTCCACTGTGCACCATTAGTAACCATCAAGGACGACATGTGACCAGCCAGGCCCTCAATAACACGCTGATCTCACTTCCAGTCAGTTGCGTTCAACTTCTCTCTACGCTATGTTTGCAAGCAGCGTTTTCACAGGGCTCCATCCAGAAGCCATCAGGCCCACAGAGGCGTCTGGAGAAATCCTCGGGACACCTCTACCCTCACAAACAACGCACAGGCACACCGGGAAATACTGCCATAAAGTGAATCTTGCAATAAGGAGAGTCAAATTTTTGGTTTCCCAGCACATAGAAAAATGTTGTTTACACTACACTGTGGTCTGTCAAATGTGCGATAGCATTATGTCTAAAAAATGTACAAACCTTACTTAAAAAATATTTACTGCTTAAAAAAAAGTCAAAATAATTACAATAGTAACATCAAAGGTCACCACTGATCACTGTAACAAATATAACGATAATGAGAAAGTTTGAAATGCTGCAAGAGTTACCACAATGTGACACAGAGACACCAAGTGGGCAAATGCTGGTGGACAACAGTGTGGACAGACTCGCTGGACACGGGGTTGCCACAGGCCTTCGAGTTGTACAAAACTGTGGTATCTGCGAAGTGCAATCAGGCAAGGTGTGCCTGGAGAAACTGATCTCAAGGCGAGGACTGGTCCCTATGTTTCAAAGGGAAGGAAGGAAGGGAGGGAGGAGGGGGAGGGCCCTCGGGGCAGGAGGGTGGGAGGCCTCCAGACCCACAGCTGCCACTGCACGGCCTGGTGGGTTCGGCCAGCAGAGGTTCCGTCCTGGAGCACTGCCAACGAGCATTTCCAGGCCCGACAGTCCAGTCCAGCTTCCCCTCCACCTTCCCAACACTTCCCCGCTGAGACCAGAATGAAGAGCAGGGTGCCAGGGTCCCAGCAGTGGGCCAGCAGCAGAGCCACCAGGCCCCAGCCTCCTCCTTCCTCACACATGTTCCCTGTGGGTCTTCATGAGAGGCCTGGATAAAGATGAAGAGTCATCTACGCAAAAGGCCTTTGGCTGTCCTTGTAAAGGACGCTGTGAGACTCTTAACACAATTCAGCTGCTGTTCTCAGGGAAACGGACGTGCTTTCCATCACCCGACAACCAGCTGCAGTGAGGATGGCTGGTGTGACTGGCGAATTTCTTCTAACCCGGCTCCCTCCTTCACCCCAGCCGTCCCAGTCACTACAGCACAGTGGGAAAAGCACTGCACAAAGTCAAGACCTGGGAGCTCGTCTTGGCTCCACGACTGAGAACTATGTGACTTCAGGCAAGTCAACACATCAGAGCCTCACTTGTCAGTTTTTTTCACCAAAAAAAGAGGTTAACCTGTAAGGGTTAACTTACAAAGTCTTTATAAGGATAAACATTTTTTTTAATGAAATGCTTTCAAAACGTTAAAGTGTTACCCAGATTCAAAATGATGATATAATTCAATTCAAAGTTGGTAAAAATAAATATTCCCTGAAGCCCAACAACATGCCAAGCTAAAGAACAGGAAAACACAAAGGTGTAACTTCTTGACGTCAGCAGCTGGTTTGGGTCAGGAAATACAAACATACCCAGTATACTCTTCCTCCAGGTTGAAAAACAGGTCTCGTAGCAAGGCTGCCAAGCGATTCAGCCCTGAAAGGCTCTCAGAGCTCTGGCCTGGGCCCCGTGGCTGGCAGCACTCACTGTCGCCTCAGCTGTCAGTGGCTGCACGGGACCCAGCCACGTGAGCGGAGCTGGCCGACCCAGGGAGCAGAGTTCGCAGATGAAGAGAGTTCCAAAGAGCCTCCCATCCCGATTCACAAGGAAGCATCACCACTCGCTCTCAGTGCACTGGGGCAAGAGCTTACCCACCTCCAGCCAGACTGCTCTAACGGCTCAACGTGGCTGGAGCCATTTTCAAAGTCACCCACTCCTCTTTTAGTCACTTACTCACGCTCTCCTGAGTAACCTCAATTCCTGATCAAAAGAGGAATGAACGGGAAGCAAAACAATCCAAAGTTACTGGATACTCTTCCTGGCATGGCACGCCTTATCTAACCTTGAGAACAGCACTTCAGGGCAAGACTACCCCCATCTCATAGAAGAAACAGGCTCAGGAGGCCTAGGTGATGTGGCTTGCACCAGTAAAGCCTGGCAGAGGCCACCCAGCTCGGACCCCATCTTGGGCTGCTCACCACACCACTCTGCGGCTGGCGGCCATGAAGCTTTAATAACAGATGCCTACGTGGGTGGTGAAGAGACTCTGCCACTGACCACTTGCAGGTGGGATGCAGCTCAGGGAGGTACAGGAGGAAGAGTATGTGGCACCAAGAGACCACTTAGAGTCTGGACAGCTTCCACCCCTGCTTATTAAGTCAGCTGGCATCATGCTTCTCTTCCCTGGTGACAGGACCCAGACAGCCCCCGAGTCCACAGCCTGTCCCTCCTAATCCTCTGATGCACGCCTCTTACGTACACTGGGTGATGTGAATGCCCGGCTCCTGTAACACTGGACACCTACCCTCTACAGAAAGAACTTTAAAACTGGGCAAATCCTCAAGTGGTTCCTTCACACACAACCGTCACCCAGGAACTCCTCAAGGCCACAGTCACAGGTCTCCAGCTGCACGAGCCCCCTCGAGGCCACATCACCACTGGAAGCCCCTGCACTACGCTCACTGCAATGACCTGGTGGCTTCTCACTGGAGCTGCTCCTTCAAGAACAGGGACGGACTGGGACAGGAAGTCCCAGGCTCTGGGCCAGCAGGGCAGACTGGTGTGGAGCACAACACACTGGCAGCTTCCACTGTGTACAAGGCCTTCACAAATGTCACGTGTGACTGCAGAGACGCGGGCTACCCAAGACCCAGGCATAAGCCCCTCTTAGACAGTAAGTAAAAATAAAATTTAATTGGGGGTGCTTTAGTAGATCAGTTTCCAGGCGGACACACAGGATGCTCTATTTTCAACCAGTGCAGGAAGTCTGACTTTGAGTCAGCCAATAAATATTCTAAAATCCAGGTTAAAAACATGCTATACAACAGGCTACCAACCAAAAAACTTAAAGCACAAAATTTTGCCCCAAATGGAAATTTTACATAAAACGTAGCTACTTCTTACACCAAAATTAAGGGGTGGAGGTTATAGCTCAGTGGTAGAACACCCGCTTCACATGCACGAGGTCCAGGGTTCAACCCCCAGTGCCTCCATTAACAACAACAACAAAAACCCAAACAAAACCAAAATGAAACAGCTGTCAGTGGTTTCAAGAATTTTCTTCACCTTGAGATTTTTTACCTGAATAAAATCCAAGCCATGTGATTTACCATCTTTATTTGTTCTAAAGTTCACAAGATTCCAAATGAAGTAAAACTTTAACCTAAAGAAACTCTCAGAAGATAACATTTACTCTGACATCTTTACCAATTTTTAAAATGCAACAGTAAAAACCTACTTGGGCTTTAAACAGTTTCTGGCTGTCTTTGATAACTTTATGCTGCTAATTCTGATGTGATACTCGTTTTAGATGTTCCATTCTCCAAAATCTAAAAATTCCTAACCCAAGTATTAGGTAATAACCATCTGTGTTTTATGAAAGATGAGTAACACAAACACGCTGGGTATTAACCTGTTATGAGATTAAGAAACAAAACGTAAGATTTCTCAGTTATAAAATAAATAGATTCTTATATTTTAAAGTTTTGTGTAAGGGCTTCTGCCGTGGGCCTGAAGAAACTCAATCTTTTGGGTCTCTTAAAAAGCACTTTATCAGAATGATTGGCCCACTATGCAAGTCAAATAAGATAGACATGTAAGAAAAACGTTAATTTTCTTTCTTCCCCGTTGGGAATTTGACTGGCATTTTTCTGAGTCTGTACACACACACACACACACCCCCCTACAAATACAAGCAGGTGTTTTCTTATTTTTTTAAAAATGGTGTTATATTATAAATATAGTCCTGTGCAACCTGCCTTAAAAAAATATACAATACTTCACAGACAGCCCGCCACATCAGCACACACAGGTGTTCCTTTTCAGGTCTTTGGATTGTTAAAGAATTAAATGACTTGATTTAAAATCAACTAAACAGACACTGCCTGGTTTCCCCAGAGACCTGAGAAATGATTTTAAACATATTTTAAACAAAAATCAGAGCTTAAAAGGCTGGAGGAAAATAAGCAGAAATCTCCTTTTGGGTTCACAGAATCATCATCTGTGATTCGTTTTAAATTGTTTTGATCACAAAACTTACATCAATGGTTTGAACCAAACACAGTGTGCTCCAGAGTGCTGCAGCCATTTGAGTTGGACCAGAAAGGTTTGCACAGGGACGTGTTACACCAACAGGTGTGCTGCTCACACACGAAGCCTGATCACGGGCCCGGCCATGGGCAGGTCTCTTGGAGCACTGTCTGGAGACCCAACACTGTGACCGTCTCTGAAAACAGTGACTCCAGCCCATCAGGTCCCCTCTTCCTCTCTCAGGAATGTGAGCTGGGACACGCCGTGCAACCTGGCGGTCAAAGCCAGAGACTACAGCTGACCAGGATGCAACGGGAGCCGTCAGGAGGCTGACTCCCGACTGCTGACTGCTGACTCTGAGCCACGTGCACCCTTTCACATTCTCTGAAATTCTGGAAATCATTTCTAGACCTCAGGTTGTATTAAGACACACTGCTCCCCAGCACTGGTTTAAATGAAGGCAGCTCAACCCTTATTCTGACACTGGGAAGCAGGGGACAGCGTCCACCTGACCAATCGAGAGCTCAGCCCACAGCCCTCCTCCTGAAGCTTTCTGCAGGCCCTTCCACAAACTCTGTGCGGAGGGACGAGCGCCTGTGCGCGGACCCACCTGTGCAGGAAGTGCAGCTTGTGCATGGCGGCCAGCCCCGCCGCGATCTCACACGCCAGCCTCTGCAGCAGCATGGTCTGCGCGTCCCCCTGCACCGGCTCGGGCTCGTTCCGCAGGTAAGCCTTCAGATCGCCCTGCGAAAATGAGTCTGGTTCAGTTTCCCAAGTGGACCCGGTGAGCAGACCAGCAACTGAACAGGTGCCTTAGCCGACATAAATTACCAAGGTTATTTATTAGGAATGAATTAGGTCTGAGCTTAGTTGAGAATCCCACACTGAACAAGTGTGAAATGACAAAAAGCAACTCCAACCGAATATCTCAAAGGTAGAGAAAACACTATTCTCCTTTTAGGATCACTCTAAATTAAACATTAGCTTACCCTTGTTATATAAGCACATGTATAACAAGTTTAAAAAAGATAATTTTGCGATGGTGCACAATTTAAGTGCAGAAGTACAGAAACTTCCAGGTAACTAAGAGATGATGCAGAGAGTGAAAGAGGGGCCACTGGCACTGCCTTCAAGGATTCCAGGAGAACACTGCATCGTGAAGGCTACCGCCAAAGCACTCGTGAGCAACAGAGAAGGGGAGAAGGAAAGAAAATGGGTGGAAAGGAGGAAAAAGTATTTCAGTGCCGGTAACTGCTTCAGGTCTCTGCCAGCTTCCCCACGGCCTTGTGTTGCACAGAGATCACTGTGAGAAGGAACATTCTAGTCACTCCAGAAACTCACGATGTTAATTTCAACAAGTCCGTTCTTCCTGCACGGGCAGGAAAATGAACAGGTTCACGTTAGACACCCAGCACACGGGTGCTCCAGGGCCGAGCTCCCCAGGTATTCGTGCAGGGTCAAGCCGTCCTACTCTGCTTTTGTTTCACGGCTTTAAGGACTGTATGTCTGTGGGATCTACAGTGTATCTGTTTTGGGAAAGACACTTTTGAGGAAATCTTCCATGTTCTGCTTACCACATGATTATTTATGGATGTGATTTAATTCCGAATTAAAGCTTTATATAATCAGTCAATAACATTTAGAAAGCATGCCAATAGCTTTCAGTTTTCTTTATATCTGAGTCAAAAGAGATTCTGGAAGGAAATTTTCCTTTACCAACAAAACTCTCATATTTCTTATGATTGTTACCGAAGACAGCAAGCTAATTAAACTCCCCTCAGAATCAAACTTTAAAGCACAATATTCCTTTGCCAACAGCTGTCCACATTCAATACTAAGTACGTTCCAATGTAACCTCTAGGTCCACAGCAAGAATATAAATTTGTTTTTGTTCCCAGTTTCAACAATTGCTATATGAATGATAACACTGACGTTAATAACCATTACCATCTGAACTTTTGAACACTGTGCCAAGCACCGTGCTGGGAATTTTTACACCTGTTACCTCAAATTAACTCTTGCAATTTAAAACACTTTTCAGATACGGAATGACGCTTAGGGAGGTTAAGAAATTTGCCTAGGGCCACAGACTAATAAAGAGTGGGGCTGTATGTCTCCTCTTCAGTTTGACAAACTGTCAAGAAAATTCTATTTGGTGAGTGAGTTAAAGTAGTATGCAGATCAAATCAATTATTTTATAAGAATGAATGTCAAGTAAATTAAAGCCAACGACACGGCTTTGTAGGGTTCTCCCAGACCTATCGACACTGCTGTCAGGGAAGCAACTGCCCGCTCAGGACCAAGGCGCACGTTCACCCACATCTAAATCTTCCTTCTTTCCAAACATGGTCCTCCCTCCTGTTGCTCCTGTCACAATTACAGGGAGAAACAGACACCTCTCTTCCCACTTAAAATGCGTGCCCCTCTCCACCCCAACCCCACCTGCACCTGTCCAGGGGAGGCTCTGCCCAGTGTGGCAGTGGGGAGAATAAAGACAGGTTTGGATGACAATTAAACAACCCAGAAAAACTCTAGCAAAAGTGCTGGGCCTAGAGGCTAATGGAGCTTTCACAAAGCAGCCCATATAGAAGCGAACTAGGAAAACAGAGAGCTCAAATTGATTCACAGTACCCGGAAATGACAACCTGAGTTCACCTGTCTGACCTCTTTCCTGCAACATCCACCTGAGGGAGAGCTACCCCCACACAGAGGAGGACTGTGCTGCGCGGCATCCAGCCAAGTCTCACAGCAAGCAGAAGCTGCTGGCGGACAACGAACACTTCCCCAGGGACTCGGCCGTGAAGGCGGGAGTGGCCGAGTGGGTGTGGGTATTTCTCAAGGTTATCCAAAAGTACTCACTACCACTCACTGTTCCTAAAATCTCTCTCCACAGCAGTCCACTCCCCAAATTTCACCAGAAGATAAAGCACAGTAAACAGAAGGGGATTTTGCCTAAGAATGTTAATGTTCCGAATGTTCCCAGCTCGGCAAAACTAAAAGCCTCTCCTTTCACCTGCCCCGGGGGAGGCAAAGTCAGCACAACCCGGGCAAGCCCGGCTCTAACCCAGGGAGAGCTAACATCTGTGCTGCCCGGGGAGCCCAGTCACTTTTTTGTGTGTGAGTCGTGTGATGGGCTGTGAGGGTCCAGGGTCATTTCTGGGCTCTAGAAAGAACCTTGGAGCTCTCTTGGTACCACCGTTTAAAAGAGAAATCAGCATAAAGTCTCTACAGTAAAGATGTTTATAACTGTAAGTATTAAAAATTGATTCATTCTATCCTACAGATAAAGCTGTATTTAGGTACCTGGCTTATTTTATTTATGTTTTAATGATGCTTAGTGAGTAGACAGGGATGATGACTTTGGTTCATTATTTATAAAGAAAAAAACACTGAGAGAATAGCAATGCATTCTGAATTAAAATAAAGTTTCCTTTATCCAAGTCTCAAAAATTTCCCAGCTCCTCCACAAACCCCGCCCAAAAAACTCAGAAAGAATAATTTATGACACTAGATGGCAGCAAAGTGCAAGACTAGGAACTCATAGACACCAGAACAGCAACCTGAATGGTCATTCGAAGACCTTTCAACACTCACTCACAGTGTCCCCTTAAATCCCACCACCAGCTGCCAGGGGGGCCCCTGCAGGACACTGATAACAGCAAGTTAGCTTCCACATGGTGTAAAACCCAACAAGAAGATATTGCAGTCCTTCCTACGTTTAAGAGAAGGATGTGGGGGGAAAATCTGTTTTTAAACACAAACTTGAGTCAAAGGATGAAAGAACGGCATCAACAGCCACAGACTCAGCACCCCTGACGGAATGGGCCGCCGGCGTCAGCTGGAGGCCCTGGAGCCTCCTGGCCACGCCTCGCCGCTTCTTAACTCCCTCAGGGTCTCTGACCGTGCCCACTCTTTCTCACACCGTTACCCTGGACTGTTCACCCCGTGCCTGCCCTGCTCAGTCTCTCTCCGAGTCCGCCCCTTCTCTGCTCAAACACCTAGCAGAGACACCCCACAAAGAACCAGCAAGCGCCCACACTGGGTGCTGGCTCCCACCCCACGTCCTCCTCTCTTCAGACTCCTAGGAAGCTGGCTCTGTTCCGGCTGCCCCCATCTCCTGGCCCCCCACTCTCCAGCAGACCCCTTGCCCCAACAGGCTCGGCTGTGGCTGCTCCCGCCGGGCTCTTCCCGGCCGCCTCTGACAGATGCACGGTCACTGGGTTGGCGTCTCACCAGCAGACCAAGTGAGGGGCCCGTGCCTTCCTCTCCAGGAACAGAGCTGAAGGTAAGAGAGCTGAAGAAACTGCTGACTTAAGGAAGACAAGACGTTTAATCCACTTCCTTCTCTTTACCACCTCGGCCTGCAGTCTGGCCCCCAGGTGGCTGGTCTCTGCTTGTTACCCTGCCAGCAGATCCTGCCCAGTGGATGCCAGTCTGCTTCTCCCAGCTCGGTGCTCTCCGCATCCAGCCTCCAAGCCCCGCAGGCCCACCCGCTGCTCCCATGATTCACCCACCATCCGGCTTCCCTGCCTGGCTCGTGCTGTTCCCGTGATCCTTTCCTGCTGAGCAGAGTCGACCTACCCGCTCTTCCACACTCAGATCAAATGCCACTTCCTTTGTGAAGCCTTCCCCAATGAGCCGAGCTGGAGCTGCTGTACAGAACTACCCCAACCTTTCAATTATGATCCATTAATTTAAGACAGTAAAAATGAACAAAAGTAACTACCATCTCCTGAGCACTTTTACTGTGTCTACGGGGTAGGCAGTATCATGCCCACCTTTCAGATGTCTACACTGAGGCCACGAGAGGTTAGGGAACTTTCCAAGGTGATGCACAAGTAAGCGGCAGGACAAGCATCTGGAGGCAGGCCCACCTGGCTCTACAGGCAGGAAAGGCAGGATGGGGTGACTCACCCACGTTCCCGAGGGCGTTGCACGGGATTGGGGTGACTCACCCTTGTTGCCCAGAGCACTGGGCACAGCTCTTTGTACTTAAGAGGTGCTCAATACATTTCTGTTGAATGAGTGATCTTTATCCCCAGTCTCCTCGCGGGACACGCACGTGACAGCCCAGGGTACCTTCTACGGCACAGGCTGCACACAGGCCCTGCAGTTGCCTCTCGTCTCACCAACGCTGCGCCATCAGCTTGACACATTGGCCACTGCCATTCAGCTACCAAACTCAGAGGAGTTTTCATCTTCTCTCTTAAAAATTCTGAGATAAAGTGCTTTTCAAAAAGAGATGGGTAATCCCATCTCACAAGGAATTACTTAAGTGCGTGAGGACAAATTCTCTCCTTTCTACATCAGAGATGTTATCCCGAGCGTGATGACTGCCTGGTGACGGCGGAAAAGGCCAGCGCTCACTGAGCAGCTCCTGACCTACTAAGAGCACACGAGAAGAGTGGCTCCTTTCACTGTGGCTGCAGCTGCTTATTACCGAGCCTGGGCTTCTGGACTCTGTCCTCTGGACTCTGGCCAGTGGGCGGTTCTGCCGTGGATGCCGCCCCTCTGCTCAGGCTGGCCTCTTTCTGGGAGGGTCTGGGGCCCCCAGTCTGGGAGCAGGGCTCTGGTGAGTGCTGGGGACATCCTGCAGTCCAGCGTCCACTACAGCTCCCTGGGCCAACACGACCCAACCGTTTCTGCCACCTGGTTCCCTGCACATCCTGAACCCAGGGGACCAGACCTCGGTGCCAGTGCCCCCTCTCGAAGCCCCAGCCCTTGCTGCTTGGGGAGCCTGTTCCTTCTGAAATTTACCAGGCACCAGAGGGGATGAGCACAAAACTGCCCGAGGAGATAATGTGGCCTCAGTACCGGGCAAGGGGGAGGGCTCCCTGGGTTAACAGCCTTCACTTTGATATAAGACTGGTCATTCCAAGTGCTGACGGATGGATTTCCCAAGGTGACACTAGCCTCCCCCTAGTATAGGTAACACCTGGTACAGCACCTTACATAATAATTACCAATATTTGTATATGCATGTGTGTGTGGTAAAAACGGTGACGCATAAATATACCACTGCGACCATTTCTAAGTGTGCAGTTCAGTGGCATTAAGTACATTCACACTGTTGTGCAGCCATCACCACCGTCCGTCCACAAAGCTCCTTTCAGTTTCCCAGCTGAAAGTCTGTTTCCATTACATGCTAACCCTTCCCACGCCACCCCTCCGCCATTCTCTCTCTCTGAAAGTGACTGCGCCAGGGACCTCAAATAAGTGGAATCACAAAGTATCTGTCCTTTTGCAATTTAGCTTACTGAGCATAATGTCCTGAAGGTTCATCCATATTGTAGCACGTATCAGAATTTCCTCCCTTTTTAAGGCTGACAAATACTCCATTGTATGGAGAAACCGAATTTCGCTTATTTGTTCATCCCTTGATGAACACCTGGGTTGCTCCCACCTCTTGCCTAGTATGGACAATGCTGCTATGAACACGGGCATGGAAACATCTCTTTGAGATCCTGCTTTCAATTATTTTGGATATATGTACCTAGAAGTGAAACTGTCCAATCATATGGTAATTCTGTCTTAATTTTTTGAGGAAAATTTACTGGTTTTGAAACATTTACTGTTGATCAATATACCCTTGGGTGGTGCACCAAAATAAAAGCAGACAACAGCTCTGCACTGCCCACGAAAGCTTGCGGTGGGGATGAGGGCTCTTTCCAGATGCTCAGCCTTCAGGAGTGAACATCCCCCCAGTATGACTCAGGGTCATGTAACACATGTGTTTCAAGAAGTCACCTTTGTTAATTCTGGAGGGCTGTAGCCATAATCCTCATCCCAAGACAGAAAGCCAACAGAAACTTAGGTAGTGAATATGCATGTCTGACTACTTAGTCTAGTGTGAGTACTTGGAGAACCTGCACTTAAATCTGAGATCTGCACGTGCCGGGGAAAACCTGTATGAAAAGAATGCTGAGTTAACAAAAGACACGGATTTATTATATAAAGTCACGTCTGCACAATGACAATATTAGGATCGTGCCGATACTGGGTCATTCAGGGTAACTGCAAAGGAGTTATTTGCACCTTTTGTGATGTTTTAGGGTTTCTTTATAAGGCAGGTCCAACTATTCCCAAGAAAACCAGGCAACTTCATTAAAACACAAATCAGGACAGCACCCAAAGCAAGCCCACCACCTGGCGCACTCAGGAGACACCGGGCGGAGCAGCCGGAGTCTCCTCCTACTCCCAGGACCCGGACCGCCGCGGGGGGGCTGGTGAGGCTTCCAGGAGCGGAGGAGCGGGGGAGGAAGAAAATGCCGAGGCGGAGGAGCTGGTTTCACAAGCCACCTCGACGGGCCTGGACACGCGCTGTTCCAAGAGGGTGCTGATTCCTGCCATATTCCTGTTACGGTCACTCACGAAGAGCGTTCCGACTTTTACTTATAATCAGAATCAGGAGCTTAGGGACCCAGAAAAGACATCATTCAACATCTCAGAAAAGTAGAACTCTGACAAGCAGACTCGTCTCATCATTGTGAAAACGTATCTTTGGTCTTTTCTCCTCAAATGCTGTGTCAGCACAGGGCTCACTCTCATCCTGGTCACCCAGAGCGAGACCAAAAGGAGCTGTGTGTCCACATTATAATAACCGGGGATCACACATAGAGCTCGGCTAATCCTGAGATAATCAAAACAAAATATGCAATAAAACCATCAGAAACTCCACTGAGAACTCACGCCTCTATTAAATAATCAGGCTAAACGGCAGCCATCACACGCCTGCTCCCACAAGCAGGAGACCCAGAGGACAGCGAGCAGTTCTCTCCCTGCGTCCCTCGAGAACAGCATGCTGCCTTTCTACAGCAAGTGCCCCATCAGTAAGTGCCCCCCATGATGGAAGAAACCGTGGGGCAGGCACCGAAAAGCAGGTTTAACTCCAGTCTCCTTACATGGAGAGAGCTCTCTGAGGTCCCAGCTTCTCTGGGGGAGGGTAAATATATTGATTAAAATATACTGACTTCATTATATTAAGTATGCATGCTGCAACTTCTAGTGTAGCCATAAACAAAATTAAGAAACAGTAGATGGGGAAAATGAAAAAAGGAAGGCTAGAAAAAAAGCAAAAAAGAAAAGTTGAAAGAGGTAGGAAAAATAATACAAAACAGGTACCTAACATTCCAAATGCCTCAAAGATACAACAAACATAAATGGGCTACATGTTTCGTGTTAAGTGACCTAGATCGACAGATTAACACAATTCTAACAATAAGCTATTTACAAGTGACGTAAACCAGAGAAAGGGACTGAGAGCGATAAACCAGGCAAATTCTAACCAAAAGCTGGCATAACTATAACAGTATCAGTAAAACAGATTTTATCTAAAGTAACACTTTGAATCTTAAAGAGAGCCCTTACATAAAAGTTTCAAATTACAACAAGTTATATCAATTTTAATTCCGTATCCCTGACACAACAGAGTATCAAAATGTACGAAGCATGACAACTAGAATTATAAGGAAAAATGGGGAAAATTCATAATGAGAACAGGGTATTTTCACATGCCTCTCAATCACTGGTAGAAAATTGACCCAGGTTCCCTCTATCCCCGAGCCCTCCCCACAAATCAGGAGGAAACAGGAGATGTGAGCAGCCTCATAAACTTGACCCAAAAGATCCATGCAGACACACAGTACAGATCACCAGAATACACATTTCCCTCCCCCAGCATCCACACACAGGGCAGAACACTGACCCTGGGGTGGAGATGAACGTGGCCTGAACAGAGCTGCAGCAGACGCAGTCACCGCATGAGATGAGTGAGGCCCACTCTGCTCTCACCAGCCACTGAGATGGGAGGGGCTGCGATGTAATCCACTGAAAGCTAATATATCGAGTTTATTAATCATTTTTCTTTGGAATTAACTGCCTTGGGCAGAAATGAAAGCAGTCCCTCACCCAGCACTTCTGTCAAAAATACTTCAGTAAAAACTTCTGAATACTTGACCTTGAATTTCTACGAGAAACTTACCAAGTCACAGAACTCGAACACGAGAAGATAGGGGATTGCTTCTACACACTGTCCAACACACTGAAGAATGTTTGGATGTTTAAGAATACTGGTAAAAAAAAAAATGACAGTATTGTTCATGAGGGAGCTGGCCAGTAAACCTGTTCAAACAGTAACTCCAAATGTAACATTCATAATGATGATATGATTCATAATTGATGATATTTAAATATGATCAACTGAAAAGAACACAGTAAGATTACATTTAACAGATGTATTCTGTTATGTAATGAGTAAATAATTCAAAGCCAATCACGTGAATATTTTCACAAATTAAAACAAAACTCCTAAGAATCTTTAACTTCAGTAATTTAAACTTATATTTATTTGTTTATTTTTTTAAACAGAGGTACTGGGGATTGAATCCAGGACCTTCTGCATGCTAGGCACCACTCTACCACTGAGCTATACCCTCCCCTAGTAATTTAAATTTATAGATACTATTTTGAAGTAGCATTTAAAAGAAGACAGACTATATACACAAATTCAACAAGCACTTCAATCCACATATTAAATAACCCAGTTACTTCTCAGGCTATCTAGCTTTTATACTATTTCCATAAACCACAGTACATGCAAACTCTTTCTGGAAAATATTTTGTCCAAAAGACAGTTAAAAAAAAAAGAAAAAGATATGCCAAAATGGTGTTTTAAAAAAAATTCATTTTGAAGCAATAATGAGTTAACAGTAAGCTGCAAAGACAGTACAAAGAGGCCCCATGTCCCCCACTGGTGACACCTGACACAATCGAACTAAAATCCTGAAACCGCGGCACTGACACCAGGGTACACGGTGTGCACTTCTGAGTCCTGTGATCACAGGTGCAGATTCGTGTGAGCACCACTCCACAGAGATACAGAACTGCCCCGTCACCACGAAGGTGTCCCTCATGGTTCCCTTTGCTGTGCAAAAGCTTTTAAGTTTAATTAGGTCATATATGTTTATTTTCTCTTTTACTTCCATTATTCTAGGAGACAGACCCAAAAAAATACTGCTGTGATTTATGTCAAAGAGTGTTCCACCTATGTTTTCTCTAGGAGTTTTAGAGTATTCAGTCTCACGTTAAGGTCTTCACTCCATTTTGAGTTTATTTTTGTATATGGTGTTAGAGAATGTTCTAATTTCATTCTTTTACCTGTAGCTGTCTTGTTTTCCCAGCACCACTTATTGAAGAGATTGTCTTTTGGTACTGTTTTGCATTTCTGTCTTTTACTGCTGAGTTTTGAGAGTTCTTTATAAATTCTAGATATGAGTCACAGGTCAGGTATGAGGTTTGCAAGTATTTCCTCCTAGTTGATAGTTTATCTTTTCAACCCCTTACCAAGGTTTTTCACAGAGCCAAAGGTTTAATTTTGCTGATACCAATTTGCCCACTTTTTTTTTTAATGGGTCATACTTTGGTATGACTTTTAAAAACTCTTCACCAAGCCTTAGGTCCCAAGATTTTCTGTTATATTCTAAAAGTTTTACAGATTTACATTTACTTTTGAAACTATGATCCATAGAGTTAAGCTGTTTACAAGACATGAGACTTAGCTCAAGGATCCTTTTTTTCTCTACAAATATCCAACTGCTCCAGCAAGTGTTGCTGTTTTTTTTTCCCCAGCTTGAAAAAGCCATCCTTTCTCCATTGAAATGCTTTTGCACTTTTCTCAAAAATCAGTTGAACATAACTGTGGAGCTATGTCTAGGTTCTGTGCGCTGTTGCACTGGATTCTGTGTCTCTCTGCCAGTAACACCGTCCTGATTACTACAGCTATATGAAGTCCTGAAATTGGGTTGAGTGACTCCTCCAACTTTTATTGTTGTTTCATAGTTGTTTTGGCTACTCTACTTCCTCTGCCTTTGTGTATAAATTTAAAATATTCTTGTAAACAGGTTTTAAAACCTTGCTGGGCTTTTGATAGGAACTGCAGGAATCTGATGGCAAGAACGGACATCATCATGACCCCAATCCATGAATATGGTCTGTCTCTTCATTTATTCAGATCTTTGGTTTCGTACATCAGTTTCTATAGCTGACAGCATACAAGTCCTGTACACGTCCTTAAGCACTTCTTTTCTTGCTTCTGAGCAAGTGTAAAAGTTATTCTGGTTTCCATGTGTTCACTGCTTACAGAAACAAAATCAACTTCTGTAGGTTGATCATGCATCCTGTAAACTTGCTGAATTCCTTTTAGGTTTAGGGGATTTTTTTGTAGATTCCTTGGGATTTTCTACGTATAAGCGGAGACATTTCTTCCTTTCTGAGCTGTATGTCTTTTGTTTCCCTTCCTTGCCTTACTGGAGTAGTGGGAACTCCATGTTATTACTGAATAGCAGGGATGAGGGTGAATATCCGTGTCTCGTCCTGATCTCAGGAGCAGAGGCATTTAGCCTTTCCCACTAAGTATGATGCCAGATATAGACTTTTTGTACATGTTCTTTATCAAGCTGAGGAGGGTCTCCTTCAATTTCAGTTTTCAGAGAGTTTTTATCTGTGGGGTTTTGTCAAATATTTTTCTCCAGCAACTGACAGGACCATGTGACAGTTCTTCTTTACCCAGTTTATACAGTGGATTACACTGATTTTCAAGAACTGAATCAGACCAGAGTCCCGGGAGCAAATCCCAGTCAGTCATGATACGTAACTCTTTATATACTGCTGAATTCATTTGCTAATGTTTTGGTAAGAATTTCTGCATCAGCATCAACGACAGAGATACTGGTCTACAGTTTTCTTTTCCGTACTACCTTAGTCAGGGGTAACAAACGAGTTAGGGAGTGTTCCCTCCTCTTCAATTTTCCAGAAAATAATATGTAAAATGGGCATTAATTCATCTTTACACATTTTGTAGAATTCTCCAGTGAAACTGCCTAAGCCTGGGGATTCTTTTTGTGTTTTTAAGTCACAAATACCATTTTTAAAAATACTCACAGGTCTACCCAAATAACCTATTTCATACTGGTGAGTTGGGGTTTGTGCTTTCTGAGGTGGTGGTTCATTTCACCTGAGGTGTCAGATGTATGCTATGTGGTGCTGTCAGTCCCTTACCACCCCTTTGCTGTCTGCAGGGTCTGCAGTGCCATCCCTGTTTCATTCTTGTTATTAGTGTCTGTGTCTTCTCTCCTTTCTCTCAGTCTTGCTAGAGGTTCGTCTATCTTCTTATCTTTCCAAAGAGCCCGCTTTATGTTTCACTGATTTTACCTATTTTTCTGTTTTCAATTTTATCAATTTCCACTCTTACTTTGAATAGTTACTCCCTCTGCCTACTTTCAGTTCATTTGCTCTGTTTCTAGTTGGTTAAACTATGAGCTTAGATTACGGATTTGAGACTTCTCCTCTTTTCTGATGTAACCCCCTATAGGTGAGGTGGTGTTTCTCTCTCCCTGCTTTTGAGGTTTTTCTGTCTTTGGTTTTCAGAAGTTTGACGATGAAGTGCCTTGGCGTAAATTTTGGGGGGTTTATCCTGTTTGAGATTTGCTCAACTTCTTGAATCTGTACAGCTGTCTTTTCCAAATCTGGAAATTTTTCAGCTAATACTTCTTCAAATCCTTTTTCTCAGCCCCCCTTCTATTTCTTTTCAATCTAGGGTGTCTGTGGCGTGAATGTTGAGATTTTTTTGTCAAAGTCCCTCATGTGTCTGAGGCTCTTCTCAGTTTTTTAAAAGTCTATTTTATCTTTGTTGTTCGAGCTGGGTACTAGCTACTGTTTTATCACCAACTTCATTGATTCTTTCCTCTGTCCCCTCCATTCTGCTTGCTGAGCTCATCCAGTGAGCTTTTATTTTGGCTATTAGATTTTTTCAGTTCTGAAGTGTCCATTTGGGTCTTCTTTATGTCGTCTCTGTCTTTCCTGAGATTTGGCACTTTTTCATGTGCTTCAAGGTGCTGTAATTTAATTGCTCATGGAAGCATTTTTACGACGGCTGCTTTAAAATCCTTGTCAGGTGACCTTAACGCCTCTGTTATCCTGGCGTCGGTGTCTGTTGTCTTCTCTTATTTGAGCTGATTTCTTTTTGTTCTTGGAATGATGAGTGATTTCGATTGAAACCTGGACATTTTGGGGCTTATAAGACTCTAGATCTTATTTAAATTGTGTATTTTGCAAGGAGAAATTCCAAAGGAGTTTAAAACACCTGATTTTCAAAAGATCACAGACCTTGTTTACAAAACATACATTGTGGATTACTTACTAGTACGGTTCCCCATTTTTCAAAAAAGTATCCTGCTCCTTGGGGCTGGCACTTGCTTTTAACTCCTTCACTATTACTCTTGCTACGCTAGTGCCTGTGTAAATCTCTCCGAGGAGTACCTGAAACCAAAGAACAGTTTTTCATTTCACTTCCATCAAAATGGTAAAGTATGTTGTTGTATTTATTAGGAAACAGAATACAAGAAAAAAAAAATCAGGGAACAAGCAGATGGTCTTCTATTGTCTTAAATACTACCTCACAAAAAGCCTGGAAAACTAAAATACTTTCCTTCAGTTTTAAAACATTCATCAGATATTTACAACATTCCTCCATTTATGTGTACTTGTTTCCTATTTACTTAAAAATGTATTATACTTGCATGGAAATTGCCGGTGACATTACAGAAGAGTAATTTACAAGTTCAGTTCAAACACAACCCACATATTTCTCAAAAACACTTCACCTGAGTGTCACTATTTTGTCTCGTCCACATGACAAAGTAAACTGACAAACAGCCAGCATACAAACTACCACTGCATTAAAATGTTAAAAATCCACGGCATTTCAACTATTTCAGGCCTTTATCTTGTGCTAAAACTTCAGTCAAAGCACAGAGAAAAAAAGGAAGAAAAAAAAAACTCATGTCAATATTAAAAATGTTTAAAGTGAAAATCAAAAAAAAAAAGGCACAGGGAAAAAGTATTCCACTGGAATTAACAGAACACAAAATGAGAATGAAAGAATAAACTACAAGTGAAATATTAAGTACTAATACAGGACAATGCAAAGATATTGCTAAATATAATATTTAAGATGAAAATAATTATGAAGTAAAAGTTTTTACTTAATTTGAGAATGATCAGCACTAAACAGCTTCCTTTTAAAATAATCTTTTATATTTTTATAAAATAGATGACTGGAAATAAAGAGTAAGAATTTGAACAGACGGGGGAAAGGGGGGAGGGAAGAGATAAATTGGGAATTGGAAATTTGCACCTTTTCGGGAGGGATGGAAAATGTCAGCTATCGATTGTGGTGGTGGTTTCACAGGTGTGTACAGCTATCAAAATTCAACAAATTGTACATCTGACATACGTGTAGTTTACTATACTGAAATTATACCATAACAAAGTTGTTTAAAAAAATTTTTTTAATAAAAATAAAATCTTTCATGGTTTTCCCTCCAAAAAAAAAGAAAAAGAACTTGAACAGAATTTAATGTGTTTGCTAAGTATATAAGGGTAGAAAAATAAACAGAACAAGAAACTCTGGTAATTAACTAGGTGATATTCCGATTCAAATAACCAGCTTGTACAGATATAAGGAGCCCAACACATCTGTGGTCCCAACCTGAAAAGAGGCAGATTAGGGGACCACTGCAATGGCCTGGCTCACTGTCTCTGTCGCCACCACTGCTGTCATTCTTGGAGGGCGATGTCTGCGGGGACTGTCCACTCAACACCTGGACCTGGCAGTTCTCTGGCCTCACTGACCTCACTTCCTCCAACCCCATCTCAGCAAACACTCCCAGGGCTGTAGACTTGTAGCTAATAATTATATCACGTCCAAAACCTTGCATTTTAACTTTTCTACCCATCATTTGACTTCAGTTCACTTACTTCAATAGTCTAGTCCAACTCGTCCCTCAAATCCACTATGCTGTCCCTACCACAGGGCCTAACTCCTGTCCTGGACAGGTTAGACCCCACGATCTCTCAATGTCATCACCCACCTAGTCCCTCTCACTGAGATACATTAGCTTAGCCAAGCCCCAATGGCACTTAAATCCAACTATTTGCCAATAATTTAAAAAACACCAAAAGTAGACAAAAACACACATGCAGGATTGACTGGGTCCACTGTAAATTTACGAGGGTCCTGCCCACCCTCCCCACGCTTCCCGAGCTGATATACCTCCCCAAAGGACTCCTGCACACCTCCCCTCCTACTCAAACTTCCAGTGCATCTTTTAACTCCTCCCTTCCAAACTGGCCTCCTATTTAATTACTGAACAAAATAATCAGAAATGAACTTCCTCATTTTAACACCAAATCTACCTGCCCTTGTCCACATCCTCTGTGTGTGCTCCCATTTCAAGAGAGAAACTGTCTCTGTGCCTAAGACCAAGTCCTGCAGATGTGCCATGGATCCCACCTACAATTACACCCCCTCTAACGTAAACACACTAAAACAGCCGCACACCCTGTAAAAAACAAATCAAAAAACCTTCCCTTGGCTCTTGGATGGCCCCAAACGGCTCACACTCCATCTCCCTGCTCTTTTAGATCAGAGCTCCTCAACAGAGCTGTCGATGTGAACCCACTCCTTCCCTCAAACCCACTGCACGTGAGGACAGGACCCATACACTGTACCTGAGGATGCAATGGACCACATGCTGCTGGATCCCAAGCCTCCCAGCCTTCGTCTTACTCAACACACCCACGAATCTACTGCAGTTCATCCCCTGGAATCCCGTTTTCACCGACGTTCACAACGCCCCTCTCTCCTACCTCATTTCTTCCTCACTCTTGATTCCTCTGTCTCCCTCCCTGGTCCCCTGACTGTGCTGACCTCTTCATGCTGCACAGCCTTGGGACTCAGTCCCTGTACCTGCCCCAGTTGTCTGTGTTCATGTTCTCAGTGATTTCATCTAGCTTCACACCTTTAAATACCATCTCCATACTGAGTTCTCCCAAGTTCACATCTGTCTTGAACTCTCGATTTGCATTTTCAACTGCCTACGTGACATCTCCATTTGGATGTCCAAGACCACCTCACCCCTGACTTCCTGCTCCACGTCTGCTTCTCCTCAGTCTTTCCCACTTGAGCTGACAGCAACTCCGTGATTCCTGCCAATCAGGCCATAAGCCGTCACCCCGACCTCCCCCTTTCTCCATCCTCTGTAACTGATCCATCCCAAGTCCTGCAAGCTTCTGTCTGAATAGCTACCATTCCATGCCATTATCCAGGGCCAACCCTGCCTGCATCCCTCCCTGTGCAACTGCAGTAGACTTCTTAACCAATTTCCCCGCTTCCCCTTGGCCCTCCACCAAATGACTGCCAGGGCGATCCTTTTAAGATGTAACCAGATGATAGCACTCACCCTGAGATGTTGATTCCTGTCCCCTGCCGTGGGACAGCCGATGTCTCTAAATGCAGGAAATACCTCACATCACCTGGCTCCCCACGCCTCTCTGAGACTGTCTGCTACCACTGACTGTTCACTGTCTGCTCACCGACCCCCTGAACCCCTACCAGAAATTCTCAGTATCCATAGTCAGGACTTGACCATCTTCCTCCATATTGTACTCCCAGGACCAAGAGCATGTCTGGTACATAACATGTTTTGAGAAATGGTTTGGAAGATTTGGTAACTAATGAAGTTGGGATGACATCAAAGATACAAGACAGATACTCTCAACAGAAAGACAAGCAGCAGCAGGCGGCTTAGTGCAGAGCAATACACCTCCCGGTGGGACCGCCCTGCTGATGACGCAGTGACCACTCAGAGCCTTTCACAGAGAAGGACTGCTGCATCATAGCAACAGTCGTCATGAAAACACCATTCCCTCTGCATAGTCTGTGGTAAAAAGATCAACAAAGCATGTTACTGCAGGTCACTGGCAGGAGAACGGTTCTTCACAATGGTTTCCATGATCATCGTACTCTCTGTCTGCAACCCTAGAGTGGTTTAACACGTTGATCGCCATGTCACCCAAATCTAGGTGACAGCTTTGTTTCCCCAGGGGCCCTGTCACCCACATATGGGTGACACTTTTCTTCAACCATTTATGCAGAATTTATTCTGAATTTATTCCGTGCAAAATAATGACATCCCAAGAAGAAACAGAACTGTAAAGAGATTGAAAATTGAAAATAAGAAAAGAAATTGTTTTTTAAAACAATTCCAATTATACTGGAAAAACAAACAGATGAATTATAGGAACATGTACTGTCAGCACGTCACACCGCGGTGACGTGTGAATGTGGGCCCCGCAGCAAACACACCCAATCCACGGCGGGCAATCCATGTGTTATGTGTCATTAGGGAGCGGGGGAGAAGGAGAAAGAAACAAGTAATTCAATTGGACGAGGATAAAAAACTCTAAAATTCTGGTCTCTTTTCCCTTCTAACCATTCTTATGCCGACAATTAGAAAAATCTCTGATACAGAAATAAAAGACCTTCCTGGAAAACCTCACACACCCAGGAACGCTGAAGCTCACATTCCCATGTGGCGTCAGGGGCAGTGGAGACATTCAGCTGGTGCTGTAGCACAGAGAGCACGCGGGATCTCGCACAACACGATGCCAACTTGAAATTCTGAACAGTATAACTAGGAGGGCGAAATAGAAGTGAACAAATTTTACCTTTCCAAACCAGCCGTTTCCAATTTCCTGTATATAGTTTAGACTCTGGCGGGCAACTTGGGACTTCAAGCCTTCTGTAGGAAAAAGAATATGAAAAACAAAACGTGTTTAACCAAAATAAAATGTTAAATATATAACCTATAAAGTATAAACACTAACATAAATTTAATGTCTGTGGTAATAAAGTTAGAAATAAATGCACAAAACATCTCTTTCTTATTTGTGAATCAGTATCCTGCCCTGACTTTGAGCCCCTGGGCGTTGCCTCTGATTTAACTGCTCTCCTGTAACCATGGGCGCCACCACTCCACTGGACTCACTCCGTCTTTAGTTTTGTGATAGAGGAGGGACCTCCAGACCTTAAGGGACTGTCCCCCGCTAGAAATACTGAAAATCTTATCAAAAACCATCAGTATCAACCTTACCAGAAGTTTGAGCTTTAGTTGCTATAAACCTCCTCCCAAATGCAGGACATCCCAGTAGAGGACAGCAGTGTCCTACTTAGCCAGGCAGGCAGTGCTGAGAACTAGCAGAGAAGTTACTACCAAACAGAGGCCAGGAGCTTCTGTCCAAGTGTTCCATTTCAATGAATCAAGGAGACTAGTTTATTCTTATGCCAGACCCAGCGTCCAAAAGAAAGGACTCAGCTTTCGCAGGAATGCAACAGGCCTGACCGCTAGAATTTAGCTTCACCAGAGAGCAGAAGGAAGAGAAATTAGCAGCAGAGGAGACAGGCAGTCCTATTATTTTATGATTAGCGGCAAGGCTCCCTTCCTCACTTCTCTGAAATAACCCATGAAAACGTGACATCAGGAGGTAAGGTCCTACCTACAGAAGGCTGGAACTGTGATGGAGCTGGGAGGGAGATATTTGGTACTGAAAGTGTGAAAACTTCTGCTGGGGACTGAACAGAGGGAGTATCTTCTGCTGGTGGTGTGAAATCTATCTCATCATCAAAATTATCTTCAAATTCCTAAAATAAAAGAAAAGCAATGTTATATCTAATATAAGTCAGCTTAAGAGCAAATACCAAAAACACTCACCAACATTTAAGATATGAACATTTATTCACTGACTGAACACACTGTCATAATTTTTTTCCCCCAATTTGTACTTACTTTAAGAAAAAAAGCATACGTAATTGTGTTCTCCAACTCCAAATAGCAGAATAAATAATATTTGCAAATAAATCATACATGTTACATAACTTTTAAAATGGGTAACTTGAAGTGCAAAATTTTCTAAAATGACCATGGAACTTAAAATGGAAATACTCTTCCAAAGTTCAAAATTTTATTTTTAAGTTACTACAGGTTAAGCTATTCTTTATCATTTTTCACTTTTACAAATCTCTTTGCATGTTGAAAAAAATTTATTTTTAAATATATGCATTTCTACTTGCAAAGCGATTTCAATCAAAATAAGGACAGATAAAAGACTCAGAAAAGTTTTTTAAAGCGAGTCCTACTTCTCTGGAAAGAGTAACAATGGAAAAATGACTAAACTGGGTAGAAAAATCATCAGGATCTGCACCACGAAGGTCAGTATACAACTGTGTAGCACAAAACTGCAATAAATACTCTAGGAACATCTGGCCCTTTAAAGATGGCAACCTTAAAACTGAGGCTGCAATAAGGAAGCTGTGGAAACCTTTTAAGTGACTTTGCCCAGAAGAGAGCCATCCTGACTCTTCCTATAGCATTCCAGTGAGCTGGGTCTGCCTTGGTGTCTGTGTTAATTTAACGCACACACAGCTGATTATCAAGGTCATTCATTCAGATAGTTAAGGAGTACGGTCCCACCAGGCACTGTGACAGGAACTGAGACCAGGTCAGTGAACGAGATGGTTTTCACTCCTCCACAGAAGGTCCTGTTCATTTTCCTTTCCTACCACTTCCCTCTACCCTACCTCCAACGGAAGGAAGAAACTGAAAGCTGCAAGGGAGGATTTTAAATAATGTAACCTTTACGTTCTCGCATGCAGGTGAAAGGACACACCCTCATGTGTGTCACACGTGTCAAAGGCATCAGGACACTATTGCCACTTGTATCGGACGGAAGGAGAGCAGGATGCTTCGATCTGTGAGGCCACCTCTCAACGGAAGAGCTCTGTCCAATTTCCCCTTTGGACATTCCTAAAGATTTTCTAGTTAAAAAGGACTTAACTCACCACTCTTAACTCCAGCAGCAACATAATAGGCTATTAGGCAGCAGATGACCCTAAAGATTCAGTGAACAACAACCACAAAATGGGGCTGTGAGAGAAGACGGGGTTTAAAGTTATGTCAGTGGCCATCTGGATGTACTTGGGCAAGTCACTTACTTCACCAGACTGCACCTTCCTGGTCCATAAAATGACCCATTCGGTCGTAAAACTCTGCATCTCTAAGTCTAAAGGAAACCCACAAATTATAGACGGTGACACTCTTCTTCCGTTACAAAGTCTGTAGGCTGGAGAGGACCCCCTACACAGCTTGGTGCGTGGGCCACGTGCAGCAGAATCCCGGGGAGGCCTGACGGAAAGACAGACACCCGAATCTGCATCATAATAAACTCCCTGGGTCAACACTAGATTGCGCTGGGTCAGAACAATGCCGGGCAAGGATGAGGTATGACCTGTGACAGAGAGACTGGCTTTCAGTTTCAGCAACACTGACCAGCCTTTATCTTTGTCCCCAAAGGGCCAGGTGTCTGCGCAAAGTCCCTCAGTCAGACTGACAGTCCATGGACGCAGGCTCTGCCCACTGTCGTGCCCCCGTGTGGTGCAATCATTAGGTTCCCACAGAAGGGCCTGGACTGACTCCAGGGCCTGGGGGCTAATGTCCTCCACGCTTGGGGTAAAATCTCCTAAAGAAAACAACTTCTGCTGGGGAACCTTCTCCAGCCTCCCACTTCTCCGCCCTCCGTGTGTCCAGCCAAAGGGACGGCACCTCCCCGCCCCCACCTCAGAACTGTGCCCAGACCCAACGTAAAGGGAACACACAACCAAAACAGGTGAGGCTTGAGAAGTGAGGTTCCTGTGTCCACTAAAGAGAAGGTTTTCAAGACAGCTTCTGCCTCCTCCCCATCGTGAACCACAGCCCTCACTGCCCTGGGACAGTTAGTAAATTCTAATTAAGGAGCAGTTTCTCTGCATGCACACAGGCCTTTTTTTCCCCTTCTCTCATATACCCCTTTTAAACACATCTTCACTGAGCCCTCATATATGTCAGCAAGTACGCAGTAAGTTCTAGATCAAGGTGTTCCAGCGCAGCTACAGAGCCAGCCTTTCTATACTGTCACCCCCTCCTCCCCACACCCCCCCCCCAAGCCACGCTTTCCAACCCGCAGCATTCTTTTCTCCTCCTTAGGGAACTCACAGTTCGTAGGAAACCAAAAGATGCTCTTCCTCATACACAAAACCCACTGGGGGATTCCCACCCCCCGCCTCAATAATCTTATCAACCACTAATTCACCAGCATACAAAAGTCTGGAAAAAAATCAAAACCAACCCCAGACTGTTTTTCCTTTTAGGCCTTACAGCAAGTGAATTCAACCATCATGCCTTACTCCTCACTTAGCAAAACTTGAAGCAGGTACGTGGTTATTTTCAATGATGCTCTGAGGCAGGGCCAGCAGTGGGCTAAACCCAGACCACCCATTTTCGTTTCTGTTCGTAACATTTTATCCTCGCTGTCTGGGGCTGATGCAGCCGCCAGGGCAGAGCTGAGAGTGGAGCAGCCATGCAGAGACAGCATGGTCCAGAGCATTTACTACTTACAATGGCTCTTCACTTTAATATTTACTATTTGGCTCTTACAAAAAAAAAAAATTTAGCCAACCCCTCCTCCTAAGGGACTGTGACTACAGCCATTCTACTGATAAGTGTATCAGAGGATGAGTTTAAATGTTCCTACCATCTGTGCTCACCTTAAAGTCTATTTCTGGGTCCTTACAGCAGGATACACAGTTTGCGATTAACACTATTAGTATCACTAAACTGCACACAGATAGGATCACAAAGGATGAAGAAACTTCTGCAGGAGGTGCCTCCCCTGGAAAGAGAAATAAACAGTATTAACAGGGGCATTCCAAAATCAACTTTAATAAACGAATCAATATATTTTCTGCCAGATATAAATGGGACCAAGAGTTAATAAAATAGTGCCCAAATGCTCAAGATACAGCGATGACCAATCCAGGATAAGAAGTAAAGGATTTTCTTAAAAAAATTTTCATTTTGAAACAATTTTAGATTTATAGAAGAGTTGCGGAGACAACAGAGTCCCCACACACCCTCCACCTGGCTTCCACTGACATCTTACACAGCACATCTACCAAACGAAGAAAATAACCTTTGTACACCACCACTAACTGAACTTCAGACTTCATTCAGATTGTACCAGTTTCCCCACAAACACTCTTCTTTTCCAGGATTCAACCCAGGCTACCCCTGTTGGATTTAATCATCATGTCCACTTAGTCTCCCCCAACCTCTGATGCTTCTCAGCCCGTGTTTCACAACCTTGACACTTTAAGAGCACTGGTCAGTTATTTTGTAGAATGTCCCTCAAGCTCATGATTGGACTGAGGTTACAGATACTTGGGAAGAATCTAGAACATCACAGGGTGAAAAGTCCTTCTCGTGATGTCGTATCAGGGGCGGGTCATGTGGGCACAACTTATTACTGGAGATGTGACCCTCGATGCCTCAGCCCAGTGGTTTCTGCCAGGTCTCACCACTGTGAAGTTACCACTTTTCCTTTACACGCTCCATTCTTCAAAAGCGAGTCACAAAATCCAGTGCAGACTCACGGGGAAGGGATTGAAGCTGTACTTCCTGGCAGGAGGAGTGTCGCAGTGTTGCAGGCACGTGTAACAACTACGACAGTAACGGGTAACTGGGGACACATGTGTCTCGGCAAACGTTACACAACAGCTTTCACGTGCTGTGCGTCTCACCCGAAGCAATGAATACCGCTATGTTCCAGTGGTGACTTTTCATTTCCCTTATCCCTTCTACATTTTATCTGGAATTCTACTTAAGGAAGATTTGTCCCTTCTCCTGCACTTATTTATTCAGCCTTACAAAGCTATAAACTCACTGATATGTACGTTATTCTTTGGGTTGTAATCCATCATCATCATCCTTTCGTGGTTCAAACTGTTCCAGCTTTGGCCCCTAGGAGTTCTTTCAAACTGACTACTGCATTCATCCGACACACCCCATCCTTTTCCCAACAATTCCGTGCTCTCTGGCACTACAGGAAGGTCCAGGCTCCTCTTCTATCTCCCCCCTCTGCCTTGAGAATCAGCCACTTCTCCAAGGCGCTCATGTCACGATAAGGAGCGTTTCTACTTCAGCAGCGGTCTGTGATCGGTTTTTGCTTGGGGGAGACACTGGGGAACAGCTAAGAATGACTTTTACATCTTTAAAGGGCTGTTTTAAAAAACAAAAACGAAAGAATCTGCAACAGATACCGCATGGAAGCCACAAAGCCTAAAATCTTTTCCTATCTGGCCATTGACAGAAAAAATTTGCAATCCCTGTCTAGAGTATAAATTCTTCCACCTCACTTTCAGCAAAGACTCAGTTATCTGGAAAGCATCTTATTCAACTAGGGCTACTGTGAACCTTTTTGCTGTTGTTAGAGTGTTAAGTCTCACCTACTGGTGTTTTAATAAGAAATAAACTTCTGTTTTTTTCTCTCCAGCTTTATTGAGATACAACTGACATATGGTATAAGTTTAAGGTGTACAAAATGGTAATTTGATATACATATATATTGTGAAGTGATCACCACAGTAAAGTTAGAGGCAAACTTCTCCTTAAAATCGCCATCTACAGCTAATTATGTGCTCAGCTGTGCCAAGCAGGAGGCGTGGGGACCAGCTAACAAGCGATGCTACCACCTTTCTGAACTGAAACTACAGTACCGAAGGAAACAAAAATGAACCAAACTCCCATGTGAGTAAAACACGTTCTTGAATGTAAAATGAAGAGCAGAGAAGTCTAAAGGAGACAGCACAACTGCCAAACACGACTACATTCCTTTTCAAAACAAAAGGTCTCCTTGTGAAAGAGCAACACTGGAACATGCCTTGCTCCAAGTGGGGCTCACACTCCCACCGAAGCCCTCCTTTTAAAAAATAATACAGTTAAGGGGAGGGTACAGCTCAGTGGCAGAGTGCATGCTTATTAGTATATGCATGAGGTCCTTCCTCCAAATATAAATAAATAAATAAATAAACCTAATTACCTCCCCTCATTAAAACAAACAAAAACTAATATAGTTAAAACCAAGGGTTGTCAAGGATCTGAACGTTCTCAACCAACAAAATCGAGAACAGAGGGAAATCCACACAGGAACATGGAAAGTAAGTGGGTGACTCCTCTCGGAAGCCGCTCTGGAGGGAAACCAGCTCCCGCTGAGAGGGGCAATTCCCAGACTACGGACGCTTGAGTCCATCTGGAAAACTGCACTATGTGAGGAGCCCCGAGCCCCTGAGTGGCAGTCTTCCAGGGAGAAGACTGGGCAGGTCCTCCTCCTCCTCAGGGTGCCCTGTCCTCTCCCCAGCTTATTCCTGCTGGTATCTGCACTTGCACCTTTGTTTCACTCCCCTGACTCACACAATAAGGGTTAAACAAGACCCCGGAGGCCTATATAGCAAAGCAGTTTCCTATACACTGTATCGTGTTGATCTTTCAGATGCGGTCTGTCCACTGCGTTTTAACGGCTCTAGATTTCAGAGGCATCTTATGCTCAGCAGAAGGCTGGTTTACACTGGCAGCATCTCTTCTTTCTCACTGGCACAAAAATAAGGGTGTGTCATAATCAGTCATACCTGAGATTTGACAAAACACCCTTTTTTTTTTTTATTGGATCATCACAACACCAGCTCCATGTCACAGGTGGGGACACTAACGTGCCCAAGAACTCGAGGTGGGAAGGCAACAGGGCCAGAATCTGGGTTCAGGGGTACAGGGTACAAGTCCCCCTGACCTCGATACTACATCATTTTGCCTCAATGAGGTTAACTTTTAATGCTTATAAACAACCTAACCTAAGTACTTGAACCAAAGTCTCACTGTAATTAAGGCAGTTCATACTTCTGGGATCTCCTCCAAACTCCACACAGTGGATTACTTTTCCCTCTCTTTTCACTCATAGTTTTTTTATCATCACACACTATCACAAAATTTGATCAAAACTGCCTGAAGGCCAGCTCAATTACCTGCTTCATAAAACCGTCTTCTGTGAGTCATAAGGTAGGCATGAAAAGTCATACCCGTGTTCAGAATAACTAGTTATGCCAAGTTCTGCCCAGCCTTGACGCATTTATTTCTGTTAAGGTACTGCAGGGACATCTGTGCTCCTGCACTCAGATTTCTTCAATGTACACAAGGGCCACTCAACCACAGTGTCTACCAGGCCCACCGAAAGGATTCTCAATTACTAGCTATGAAATTTACTAGCTGGCCTGTAGTAGAAATTTTTACAGTTTTACCACTTTTAAATACTATTTTATTTACTGTTTACTTCTGATCAGTCCAAAGTGCTGTGCTTTTAAAGAAAACTCTATAAACCAATAAAGGAAAGCTTCCATACAATGAAGAAATCCAACCAGCCTACCGCAGGCTGGAAGGTGAGAAGAGTTTGCATAAACCGCAGAGGGGAAGTGAATTTGAGACTTGAGGAACTACAGCTAAAATCCCCGCGGGCCCAGTGGTCAAACTACAAACCGAGCCCCTGGAAGGTTCCTGATTGCAACAGTTAGCAAACTGAAGAAAGAGTTTTCTTTTGACATTCTCAGTCCACAGTGTTCAGAGATGTGTAAATCAAACCAATCATCTACTGGAGAAAAACATCAGTCATGACAGGAGTGTCTCCACATATTTAGGCAGCCTCACCGATTACAAACTGAGAACAAGGTTAATTAGAGGTTTGGGGTACTCAGTACACTTTCCCAAGACACTGATGAAAAAACACACGGCATCTCTAAAGTCCATTCTGTGAGTTCTCATTTTAGTTTGCAAACCATTTTAATAGGTATCCAGCACTTGATTTAATAAGCAGAAAACTCAAGAAACTCTAAGAGGCAGGTACATATTACCTGTTTCATAGACAGGTAATTTGGGGAGCACAATTTCTCAGTAATGACTCAGAGTCAGTCAGGAATGCTACCTGATTATTAATTCAACCATCATAAATCCCTGCCTAGAACCCTGATTAGAACCTGAACATGCATGTAATTAGCTAAAGAGTTACCTGTGAATCCATTTTGGATTAAGTAAAAAATTTTAAAGGTCCACACACAAGAAGAAGTGATGATCAGTGAACGTCTGGCTCCACGGGGGCCGCACAATGCTGGTGTTCCAGCTTCGTCATTCCCTCTCCAGTCACCAACTCCTATGGCTTTACAAAGGAAAACTTCCTCATATTTGATTCCCCAGCGGTTCAAGTCATAAAGGCAGGACTGAAAGTTCGAACCCTCTATCCACAAAGTTGGTTCCTCTGGTCTCCAGCCCCATCCTAAAGCTATTTAGGGGACCCAACAAAGGGTCACTTCATTAGCATAAATTCCGGTACAGCTGGAAGGGGCTTTGTTATTAACAACAAGAGATGTTCCCACCACCCTAATCACTCAGAAAATTCCAAGGTTTGGGGAACTCTGAGCCGGGAAAGGGGATAAAGACCAAATACATATCTCCTATTATGTAACAGGTATATATCCCCCAGAATAGAAATCAGCAAACTGGCCTGTGGACAAAAATCCTCCCACTGTTAGTTTTGGTATGGCCTGCTAGCTAAGAATAGTGTTTCCATTCTTAAAGAGTTTTTAAAAAAAAAAACCCAAAGCCCAAGAGTAGTATGTCACGACACTACATTTACATCAATAGCTAATAATGCAGAAAGACAGACAACCGCACATTATGTGCCTCTGGATGGAAAAACACACCACCAGCCACTACACAGTACTGCCAAAAACAAACAATCCAACAACAACATGCCAAACCTGTACCTGACCAAGCCTCCAGATCTAAATACCAATTTACAGGAAACAAAGCGAACAGTGAGACCTATTAAATTCCTCAACAAGAATGTAATCAGAAAACTCAGGCTATGAAAAACACTCAAGAAGAAAAACGTGATGAATTACAAGGAGAGATGAAGAAGGAATTAAAAGAGATTTTAAAAGACATACCAACCAATTACAATGGGCAGGTGTTATTTGGATCATGATTCAAAACCTTAAAAAAATTATGACATTGAGACAACTGGAAATCTGTACTCTGACAACCGACTGTATTAGGGAAGTAGGACTCATTTCTAGGAGAGAGTGACAATGGTAACGTGGTTATGTTTTTAAAAGTAGTCTTTATCTTTCAGATAGTGACCTATTTAACAATGTCTGGAGTTTACTTCAGAATAGTATGAGGGTAGGGAAAGTGATGGGGGTAGTATGAGAAAAGATGGCCCTGAGTAGATTCAAGCTGGGTGAAAGGTACATCCGTGGGAATTCATTATAATACATGCCTAGTCTCGTAAGTTTGAAGTTTTTTGCTTACTAAATAATGTCTTCACATCCATTAAATAAAAAGTATAAATAGGAGAAAAGAAACTAGATACAACAATTCACAGTCTACGTTTTTGCCTACCCCAGGCATGCGTATTAGTCTGCTAGAGCCCAGGGTGCTGGGCAGGGAGACAGCCCAGCCTCCACCACTGGTATGCAAGCCCCTTGGGCCTCCACTCTGACACTGGTATGAAGGGAATCTTGACAGACATCTTCTAAAACACGAGTCTAAATTTGCTTTAGTCTGAATGCTGTGTTTTAGTCTGCTCAAGCCAAGACAGAACACCACACACTGGGTGGCTTAAACAACAGAAATCCATTGTCTCACAGTCTGGTGAATGGAGGTCCAAGACCCAGGTGTCGGCAGGGCCGGTTCCCTCTGAGGCCTCCCTCCTTGGCTCACAGATGACGGCCGCCTTCTCGCTGTGTCCTCACGTGGTCTTTCCTCTGTACGCGTGTCCCTGGTGTCTCTCGGTGTGTTCAAATGTCCTCTTCTTGTAAGGACATCAGTCATATGGCAACTGGAGAGCTAATGGCCTCATTTTAACATACTCACTTCTTCAAAGCCTGGTCTCCAAATATAGCCAACCCCTACCGAAGTTGGAGGGGCCTCAATTCAGCTGCTAACACTGTAAACTTATTAAATTAGGAACATCATCCCCATTGGTAGGGGATGCTCACCGGCACCAAAGACAAGTGTACATTGCCTTCCTCTCTGGCTTCCCCGTCCGTGGTGGTTTGAAAATGGGAAGGGACTGTACAACATTCAACATGCGCATCAGACACAGACACCTCCTCCACCCTCACTCACCCTCAGGAAATTCATATGAGAGATTTATGTGTCTACCTGACAATGAAAACTGGTGCCCCCTCAGCTGACCAGACAAAGGAAACCTGGCAGAACTCAGTGAAGCTAAGGACCAGCAACCTTCAAACTAGTCCTGACATCAAGTCCACCTCTAAAATACACAGTTTTGGCTTTTTTAAAATTATTTTTTAAAGGTAGGACCAATAAGTCCATCTCCCTTTTCCAACATCCTGACAAGCAGCTTTACATCCCGGAGACTAGTAAAATGAATCATCATCATACTACTTGATGAAGATAATTCAGATAATCATGGTAGATGACACATTTCTATTTAACACCTCAAAATTACAAACCCATTGATCATAACTGTTTCCTGCACACAGAATTTTTAAGTCACTAAATGTTTTCCTTGCCTCTTCATGTAACAATACATCTATTTATAATAACATTAGACGCTCCAGACTCTCCCTGATGTATTCCAAAATTAGGAAGGGAAAATGAAGCACCGCACTAAATATACCCAACCGCACGGAACAGTAAATAGTGCACTGACGATCTGTTGATGAATCAGAGATTCCACAAAGACCCCGAAGCCAGAGCATCAACAGCCTAGAAAAACAAACCGTGCTGTGTGCTAATCAGTGAAGTGCTCTTCTTGTTCAAAAATGATTTTCAAGGTCAGCCAACCCCACTGCTCCCTCACACTTGCTGGAAGCTTATATAATTCAAGTGCTGACTGAATACCTGTGAATGAGCTCATCTCAGATGAAGTCGCTGTTTCTCTCAGGCTACTTCATTAAAATCTGTTACCAACGGTCCATTTCATCCCAATTTTAAAAGCGCTAACTAGGATAGACACTAGCACAAGAGAGCTAATCTGAGGCGGCACAGTCTGGCCAAAGTAACGCAGATTCAGACGACTTCCATTGGGCCACTGTGTCCCCACGCCCCAGGAAAATGGTGGCAGGGGTAATCTTTCATGAACCAGAATCTTAATCGGGGTCGACAGCATAGTTAAGTTGTGGAGTCGTCCACAGTGCTCAGATGTTGGCAACAGCTCGGAATCAGGACCTTCCTGTGGTCCAGGAAGCCAGCTCACCAACAGGCAGCATCTGGTCCCAGAAGCAGAAGCCATGGCCAGCTTCCCAGGGCCCCTTCCCCCACAACTGGTCACTTCCGTGCAGCACAAATGTCTGGGGGAGAGGACATGCTGTCTTTCCAGACAACTTCCCACTGAAATCCGCAGCAACGTGCAGGTAGGTCAATGGCAGCACTGCACTCACAACACTCAGCCGATACACTTCCTGCACGATACGGCCAAAAGGGTAGCAGAGATGACCGAGATGTGTGTTCCTTGCTTCCCTGGCAGGGCAGACCCCAAACATCCTAGAAAAACATGCCTACCTTGTTCTTTAAAATTTCCTACAACACCTTGAGAGAGAGTTCATGGTCTCGGAACCTTTCTAGCTTCCTAAGGTCTAATGAAAATTCTTTTTTTTTTTTTTTGGACAGGACAAATTATTATTATTTTAAAATTAAATTACAATCAATTTTGTTGGTATTAAATTTTAAAATTTGAACAGATGTAAACCAAAAACCAGAAATTAAATTCAGTAAAAATGAGAACAGGAGTTTTTCAGTAATTACAGATTATTAGAAGGCAGGAATCCATTTAGAGAAACACAAACAAACCCCATGTTTACAATGATTGTGCCACAGATTTAAACTTCAGTAGTGCATTAGTAAACTGTTCACATTTAGATCCTCACCTCGAGATTTCTAATGCAAATTCCTGTCAATATAATTTAAACATATTCTCAGGCAATGTGTCTTTAAAAGTCCTCTCTTCAGAGAGGAAGCAGAATGTGATATGGACGCAGCTGGCCACACGGATGGTTGGACTGGATGTTGGGTACAGAGAATTCATTATACTCTTCTGCCTACTTCTGTGTATGTTCAAAATTCTCCATAATAAAGTACTACCTTCATAACTAAGCCAGAAACTGCTTACAACACTGGCTCGACAAGGTTCTACAGAACATCAAGGCAAGACTACTTAGGGTTCCTGATAAGGCTGCTCTGATGTTGTCTTTACATTAACCAGAAAAATTAATTCAATGACAGTTTAACTGCATATAACTAGGTCCTCCCGGACACTCAGGTGTCCAGCCCAAGATAAAGACCTGTAAGTGATGAACTGAGCTCCACTCGTTGAAATGGCCATTCCATCACCCTGCTGTGAGAAGCCTACCCGTCAATAAATCCCACCCAACACATCCATTCATTCAGCAAGTGTTCACAAAGCACCCTCCACAGGACAGGCACCACTACAGGTCCTGGGAGGACAGAAGGGGGAAGAACAAAGCCCCTGAACTCACAGCTTACATTCTCGGGCAGGGAGACAGACCACAAGCAAATCAATAAATATATGGTACTTCAGATGGTGATGAGCCACATGGAAACATAAAGCAGGGGATGGGGGATATTGTCATTTTACATGAGTGATCAGGGAACACATTTCTGATACTATAATTCACACAAGAAATGATGGTGGTGTGGCCCCACCCACGTGGTAATAAAAAGAGCTACTATGTAAACGGTGCTCCAGGCTCCGTTCCAGACTCCTCCAATTCCACAACCACCCTTTGAGGTGGGTACTATGATTAGCCCCATTTTAAAATGAGGAAGCTGAGCATGGGAGAAGCAAAGGAGCTTCTCCAAGGTCACACAGCTCCTGCATGGAGACATACTCCCACTCCACAACAGTGCCTGGGATTCAGGGGCAGGTGCGACACGGAGTGAGGGGAAAGGGTCAAGGAGGACACCTCCCATCAGGGTCCGTCACTCTGAAATATGGGCAGGCTCTCAAAGATCACCTGACATTTGAGAAAATCCTCCTTAAAAAAGGTAAAAGAGAGTGACCAACACAAAGACAGGAAAGGGGTCCTGAAGAAGACAGACAGCCCAGGGGTTTAAAAAAAACCCTAAAAATTCCTATAAAACTATAATTAATATCCTCAGAAATAAGATATTAAAATATAAGATATATAAGTTATGAAAAATAATGCTACATGCATGGCTGGGACATTGCACTGTACACCAGCAACTGACACACTGTAATTGACTGTACTTCAAAAATAAAAAATAAAAAATAAAAAAGAGGAGATATTACACTCATGAGAAAAAGCTATTTAGAAAGAGGTATGGGGAGGAGGGAAAACTCCTGGAAATAAAATGTATTAGTAAAAATAAAGGTCGTCCCACAGTGGAATAAAGAGACAAAACATGAACAAAAGGAGAGTCGAAGCTCATTCCAAGAAGCCCAGCATTCCACTAATAGAAGTTCTTGAAGGAAAAGAACAAAGAAAAGGAAGAAATAATTTTCTTTAAAAAAAAAAAGTGTGTATGAAATTCTTCGGGAACTAGAGGACACCACTCTCCAGATTCAAAAGGCCCAGGGTATCCATCCTAGTGAGCGGGGTGAATGGTAGACTCATGCCAAGGCACTGTTTTGCAACTTTTCAGATTTAGAAAGTCGCAAAAGCTTCCATCCAAGGGGGGAACAGAGGCCACACAGGAAACGAAATCAGACCTTGCAGTACAACCCTGGAGGCAGCGGAAGGGCGACCACCACCCACGCCTGGCACAGGGCACAGAGCAGGCTCCAGGGCAGCCCAGCCAAACACGCCAAGAGCAGGCTCAAATTCATGACACATTCACGAAAAACTAAGGAAATGATGACACAGGGCAAGCCCAGGGAAAAGAAAAGATGTCAAGGAAATTTAATCATTGGAAACACTATTGGGTCAACAGTGAACAGTACTTGCAGTTAAGTGCAAACACTGAATGGTGATTTAATCAAATAGTGTAAAAAAAAAAAAAAACCACGACACTAAGAAGAGGAAAGAGTGTGTGTGTGTGTGTGTGCATGCGTGTGTACATATACATCCTCTTCTTCCACAGTAGAAATTCAGCGTCTACTTAAACCAAGAATCGGTTATTCAAGCATGTTATTTAGCAACATGACTAAGAGCAGGAGGTGATGCCCAGGGGAGAGGTGCAGAAAGCAGGGATGCTGAAGAACGGGATGGGGCAAGGGTTCGCTGCACTACTTTTATTGTAAGTCATGGAACATTTTCACTTTTTAAAACACCTACGTGCATTATTTGCTATTAACAGAGATGTGATGGTGTGGGGAAAAGAGAGGATCAAGAGGGGTAACAACATTTCAGGGATGGGACAAAGAAACAGGGCTAGGAGGGAAACAGGGAGGAAGACGCTGCAGAGGCAGGTGGAGACCCCAGTGTACACCGCACGGAAGGCAGAAGAGGAAAGCACTTTTAAAGGGTCTTGAAAAGAAATACGACAATTAATAGGAGAACCGTAAGAATGGTCCACTTTTTTTTTTAACTCCTCCTGAGAATTAATACTAACAAAGGTATTTAAAAGTAGAATAATGCTACGCAGAAAAATACATGCATTAAAAAGTCTACTATATACATAAATGGGGAGGAAGGGTCCTGGAGAAAGCACGGGAAGATGCTGCTGCTGACGGAGCCTGAGAAGCACGAGAGCTGAGGGAGGAAGGGATCAAGGGCGTCAATCCAGGAGGGTCTGAAGGAGCGAAGAAGAGGCGGAAAATGACATCTGTCTACGACTTCATATACGCTTCTTGACACCTGCCTGTGAATCTTCAGAGCAGACACAAAAAGTATCTCCTAATGAGCACTATTCTTGGGAGCCACAGCACCCAGCAGACCCTTAAAAGGGACCATAAAAAGCACTTAATCACAATGCTAAAAGTATTTTTCAAGTTTACAAGCCAACGTTTACAAGTTTATGATTACATTTTTAACATCAAAAATATTTTTATTGCCTTTAATTAAACAGTAGGACTCATTTCATAGGTGGAAGTTCTTCTTACAAATTAAAAAAAAAATTCAGTATCAATATGGGGTTTTTGAGCCTACTTTTGGAAGTTAGCACAGTTTACTAATTCGGTAAGGAATCATATTTAGTACTTCAAGAATCAATTATATGACAAATATTTTAAAATTTTACTCAGGACTTTCAGATAATAAGTAGAAACAAGAATCCAGAGAAGAAATGACTGGAATTAGTCTGTATGCCTTTATCACACTAACAAAAGTGTTCCTGAAAGTACGAGGCTGTGAACCCGGGGAGGCTCCCTCAATCCACGATTCAGTCTGCCAGCGACCAGTAGAGAATGGGACAGAATTCATGACCTCCCTTCTCTGGGTCTCGGCTCCTTCACCTGTAAACTGGCATTTCAGCTCTAAAGTTCTATACACAAGGATTTATAATTTCAAAATTTTATGAGTCCACCAAGTTCCCATGTGGTTAATATTGGTAATCAGATCTTTTATTGAAGTTAATTTATTTCTCTTAAAGCAAACGAAGTTAAATTACAGATTTCTGCATTGCACCCAGCAGCAAGCCACTGGTGGAATGTTCCCAGGGGACTATTTTGGTAAGTTTGTTATTTTTCAGTGTCTCACCAGCAATCAGTGTCCGGGTATCACGTTTTAATAATAGTCTAAAGTCAGAGTCAAGGCAGGCTGGGTCCTTGGAAAGTAACAGTTGCGGGTGACACAGAACCATTCAAGGGAGGCACCCTGCCAGACAGAACCAGGAAGAGGAATGTTTTGCCTGCTGCAAAGAGTACAGGTTGAATTTATTGAGGTTTCTGAGGCAGAATCTGCAGCGTGAAAAATACATTAAGCTTAAATTTAGAGGCTAATCTGAGAGGTATCCAATACAACACAACCTTCGGGTTTGCAGTAAGAAGCTGGAACTACAAAGTTTTACAATTACTGGTTGGTTATAGTAGGTATTTTAAATGTGCAAAATGACAGCAAACTCATCCTCCTCTGTCTTCTAAGTCCAGAATGTCTAAGAGATTTACTTCCCATAATTAAAGGTTGTAGTTATATCATGTCAAACTCAAGTCTCCTGTTCAGTGTTAGCAACAAGGGGGGAAAGGCATTTTCAGGATGGACTTAGAACATGGACCTTAAGGAGGAAAAAAAAATGAGCTTTTAAAAATTAAATTATAGTGGTTTCACTTGGGGATAAGAGCAACTTCTCTCTCAAAAATCACCATCCGGGGGGGGGGAGGTATGGCTTAGTGGTAGAGTGTGTGCTCAGCATGCATGAGTTCCTTGGGTTCAATCCCCAGTACCTCCATTAAAAATAAATAGAACAAGTAAAATAAATTAAGACATACAAAAAAGGGGGGAATATCAGAATAATAAAATTTCTTAAAAAAATGACTATCCTAGATGCTTATAATGAAATTCTTTTCTCCTATGCAAGGCAAAGGTGCCGCCAAACACACGAGTCCAGAATCATCTGCATCAGCATATGGGCCAATGATGGTCTTAATCAAACCCAACTGATTACACAACCGCTACAGTGTAGCAGTTTCAGAGGTAAATAGTTTGCTTTCTTTAGCTCATCCTAGAAATATTTCCTACATATTAATACATTCACCACAAATACCTCAACTAGCTTTTAAAAAAAAAGTACCCACTGAAAAATATGAAATGGGCTACAAATCCTAGGCTATTCCAAAATAAACCAGTTTAGAAAAATAAGCTTTTTTTATGGTAAGATGTTAAAGACATGGTATTATACTGAAAAAAAAAAAAAAACTTGCAAGTTAGGGAGCGCGCGCGCCTCTCACCTGGGGGATCGGGAACGTCAGGGTTGCACCTGCTGGAGCTGGGTTTCCTCGCTAGCCTGTGCTGCAGCGGCCAGAACCCCAGGTCCAGGGCTGACACATCTGCACCATGAGGTTCTCAGCTCACAGCGCTGGCATCTGACTGTCAGGCTGCCAGTTCACAGTTTCCACTGATTATTTATACAGGATATTTATAAAATGCAAAGAGGCTATTATTTATACCGACCTCCAGAGAAGGAGCTAAAGTTACCAAAAAAAAAAAAAAGAAAAAGGTATTTAGAGCAGTAAGTGCGATCTGCCCTGAAGTATTCAAGTTCCTTTGTGGTTATAACACACATACTTCTCACAGGCAGATTCTTCAGAATATTCATGTATGGTGGTCAGGAGCAGAGATCTCTTCAGATTGTAGATGCTGACATTAATTTTTTAATCTATTTTTTTTGGAAGGGGGGTAATGAGGTTTATTTATTGATTTATTGTTTTAATGACAGTACCGGGGAGTGGACCCAGGACCTTGTACATGCCAAGCACACACTCTATCACTGAGCTACATTCTCTCTCCTAATTTTTAATTTTTTAATTTTAAATTGTTCTTCCCTCTTTGTGTCTCAGTAACTACACAAGTCAACATATTTCTATTAATTAAGCTGGTATTATTTTGTCTCTAGCAGAAGATAAACTATTTTGTGTTGTGGGGGTGGGGAAATCACTAGAAACGTATTATAAATGCAGATTTCCAGGCTGGCTTTCAGAATTCTGATTCAGTTGGTTTGTTTTGAGGCCTCCAAATCTGCATTTCTACAAGTACCTAGGTGATGCTGACGCAAGTGATCCTGTTTTATAAAAACATCTTTACTTTTTCCTGAAACATTCTCAGCCAAACTGATACCGTGGCCAGGTCAGTGGGAAGGGTACAATCGAACAAGCTTCACTGCAAATTAAAAACTGTGGCTGCTGGGTGATGGGCACATGGGGGCTCATTATGTTACTTTTTCTACTTTTGTGTATGTTTGAACTTTTCCCTAATAAAAAACGAGAAGGAAAGAAACAAAAGGAAAAGCTCTTTAAATAGATCAGACCGAGTCCACAGCCCCCTGTACTCTTGACACTTGTCACCAAACACTTTATCTGAACTTTTACCAATTAAAGGAGTTGCCTACAATCCCCTTCAACAATTTCCGAAGCTGACAGATCCCTAAAATAATTCTCTAGCCAAATCCTTAAGCCTCAGAGGCTTCCTTCATATCCTTAGAGATTAGGCTGCTCCTGGAGAGAGTAAAGAAAATCTTTCAAGTATCTATTGCTCTAAAAATAAAAATAACTCTCTGCCAAATGTGGCAAATGTGGGATGCACAGTATTTATGCTGGTGTTAATAGGTTAAGAGGGGGTCAAGTGACAGGGTCAAACATGCACAGGGCTCTTCCAAGTTTTGTGTCTTAAGGAGACCCTTCGTCCCTCCAAAATCTCTCACTCACTCCCTCTCTTTTCCCAACACCTGGGATTAGGTAGAGGAAGCAGAGGATCAAAACCCTATTATAAATGTCCCAGAAGCAGCGAGCAAATCCAGTGCCCAGATCCCGGTTTCTAACATCACTGTCCAGTAAAAGGAATCAGTCTGAGAAACGGCTGATTGCAGGGCTGTGGCAAGGAGCACACAAGAGGCGCCTACAGCTTCTCACAGCACAGGGAAACATGGGGGAAAAAGGTGGACATATGTCTGCAGGACACAGAAGCCAACTGACAGGGCTCCCAATAGCCAAAGCTGGTACAATTTGAGCAGCAAAATAAATAACAGTATTGAACTATAACCCAAAGTATAAAATCAATATCCATGTGTCCACAGTGATGTAAATAACTGAATAAGGAAATGAATGGGGGAGAAGAGTTAAGTCTCCTATATAGAATTCCAAGTAATTCATAGACACTTCCCCCTCCAGGGGGTGGAGCATAACTTGTCACCTCCAAGTGCGGGCCATGCGTACGTACAGGAGGGAGAAGGGCGGAAAGGGTAACCTCACGGCAGAGAAAGCGGACAAACGGCACCTCGGCCAGGTGATCAAGTGACCAGTCGTCTTCAAAGCACACACCCTTGATATGATGTGATGAGAACAGCATTTCAACCCTGGGGTCTTTCCTCCCAAAGCACAGAATCCCAGTCTCTTTACGAGAAAAACATCAAACACCAGCTGAGGGATAGTCTACGAAACACCAGACCAGTACCCCTCAAGACTGTCACAATCATCAAAAACAAGGAAGAGACTGGAGGAGCCCACGGAGACATGACAACTGAACATACTGTGGGATCCCGAAACAGAAAAAGGCCATTAGGGAAACACTAAAGGGATCTGAATAAAGGACGGACATTGGTTAATAATAATGATGAACCGGACTGGCTCCCAGTTTTGACAGATGCGCAACACTAATGTAAGACGTTAACAAAAGGGAAAACCGAGCAGAAGATACACAGAAACTCCCTGTACTGTCTTTGCAGCTTTCCTGTAAATCCAGAAGTGCTCTAAAAGAAAAAGTTCACTAGTAAAAATAAAACAACTATAAGTGGCCTCATTCCAGGTAAAGGACTGGGGCTGGGTAACAAGTGAAGTTCGCAAGGGAATGAGAGGCTCTAAGCTTACACACTCTCCTCTTAACAAACACGCTCTGGAGGACTGGTCTGGGGAACTCAGGTCTCCAGTACCGTCTTCACCAGACTTCAGCATCACCCACAGACTTGGACTGAATGTGGGGTACCAAGCAAATATGAGAAATCCCAAGGATGTAAGGCACAGTCCTTGCAATACAGGTGAAGAGGCAGGACTTAAAGAAACAGGGGGTATTTGCCAAGTGCCAGTGGTAGACTCGTACAACAAATCCAGACCTTTCTGGGTGATACAGCCCACCCCACTAAATTTTCTCTGCAGTCCTTCCATTTCATGTAAATTTACTTACAAACTGTAACAATGCATTAGCATAGCAATATATTCTATAACTTAAAAGGTCACAACTTTTTAAGGATGAAATGAAAATAAATGAAACCGTTCCCAGGTTTTCATCCTGCATCCTATGAAATGGAACCCCTTGTACCACAAGTAAACACTCTAGGAGCTCAGGAAGGGGAGCAATCTCTAAGCCCGGCCAAGAAGAAAGGTCTTCGTAGGGAAACTGAGGCTGCAAAGAGGGAGGGAAGGAAGGCAGACATGAAGGGGAAGGAAAGCGAAGTGAAGAGAAAAACAAAGATGTCAGCACTTAAGAAATACAAGGGAAAGAGGTAACTGCAAACAGAGAGAATATACGAAGAGCTGGAAGATGGGAATCTGCTCAGCCTATTTTGCAAACTACAAGTAGACCAACTTAGCTGTTAAGAGAGCGCCATGAAGGGTGGACAACAGATGCACCACAGCAGAAATCTAGCAGCAATGACCTCCCTGACCAATGCTTCCCAAAGTGGGGTCAGAGGCCAGGGGCCAGGCACTACCCTAGCCACACCACGGCACGTGGTCTTGGCACATCTATTTGACTTGATGGTAATGGCAACTTAAAACTTTTAAAACAAACATATGACATAGTAAAGTGCAAAACCTGCCAAGCTGCCAAAAATAAAATAAAACGTAAGCCCCCTCTGAAGCCCCATGAAGGCAGAAGAGTACAAAGTCGCTCCAAGTTGCGGTTTCAAGCACCTGAGACATTTGGCATCAAGTGTCCTCATTTTTCCCACTTGGATCACGATAAAGCCAAATAAAATTTGGAATCTCTGCACCGTGCTAACCTTTGCAAGAAAACTTTTTTTTGAAATATTGAGGTTATTTTTCTGATTTGCCTGCTCTTAGTGGCAAATAACTGTAATGCCAAGGCATGGTTCCAAATTAGTCATTTGCCACAATTTAAAAATACTTCACTCCAATATTTTGCTCCAACATAAATTTTTTTCATATTTCCTCAGCTTTCTCTTTTAGTGTCTTCCTACGAGGATTCACAGGAAAATAGAGATGTGAAACTAAAAACGATCCTAGGTACAGTAGTCTGTTTTAGACCAGGAACGTTTTTCCCAGCCTCTCCTTTCTATAATATTCCTTTCCTGATGTCTAAGTAATAAATAAAAATTTCAAAAAGAGTGAAGCACAGTTAAAAGGCTGCCAAAGTACAAGGTTTTAAGAGAGACAGAGAAAACAAGTCTGTCATATCCATCTCTCCAAATGACATTTTCTAAGAGGCCTCAGTCTCGCACTGGTCCTAACAGCCCGTTGCCTTCAGGGATGCCTTATGCAAGTATACAATCGTGTTTGGGATCAGCTAAA